TATTTGAAACTTGGTATTATTAATTCAATAAAATTAAATAAATACGTGTTTTAACATTTTTTTAAATTCATCCTATAAGGGGGTAAAATAGGGGTGAAAGTTTGTATGAAACTACCTTTTTAGGGATTTTTTGTAGTTTTAGCGCGAGTGAAGCCGCGGGTTCTGCTAGTACCTTATGAAGATGTCCTTAAACCGCGCAAATGGCGGCAAATCCAAATTTTGCATGAATTTTGGGATAATTCCTATATCATCATGTTACCATTCTTTTAGTTCGCTTTTTCTGCAGTCGGTTTTTTTTTATTTTTATAATAGTTTTTTTCTATATTAAGTTTTTTTCAAGAAGTGACATTTTTATTTTGCACAATATTTGAATATCCATATACTCTTGACACTCGCGTTATCAAGACGTGTCTAAAGACGACGTATAATTAATCAAAATCGTTAAGTCGTTTAGCGTTTTAAATATGAGGGACTACAAGATCGGATATACATACATACAGCTCAAACTCATAACTCTCCTCTGGGCTTCGTCACGGGTAAAAATAGAAAAGAAATACATACAGAAACATTGAAAAGAAATATGTACCTGGGTAACACTTTTATTTTTTGTCCCGGACTAAACTTTTCCTTTGATTTAACCAAATTTATCTTTATTGGTTTTAATACCAGTATAATACTGTTGTCTAGAAGTTTAACATCAAAAAGCTTTTCATATTAATTATATATTAATTGCCAAAAGTATTTGTGAAGTCTAATTAAATAAAGTTAATTTGCATCATTTTTATTTCAGTAAATTATGAATGCATTTATGTAATACTTACTGCGTGTTGATAAATGATATTTAACGCCTTCTTGAAGTCCGCATGAAGTCAAAAAATGTCTATTATTGATATAGTAATTGCACCCTAACACATTCCATACAGGTGCAAGTCTTGCAGACATAGTATAACGAAAACATTCTAAATAAACTTCGTTTGTTACTTCGTATATACTGCCATTCTTGAAATTTAAACAATATGTATTAAATTTTGTATGAATTTGTAAATAATTTGTTATGTACGGCTATATCCAATATTTTACCTGAGTTAATGATAATTTTATAAATAGAGATGTTAAGCGATCATAATCGTCTCCTATTCTATTAAAGACTACATGAATTTGTCTTATTGATAAAACAGTGTATAAATAAACATATAATTTCAGGACGAGGAAAATAAGAACACAGTAAACCAATGCAATAAGCTTTATATTATCACTTTTTACTTTATAAGTTTTATAATGTCACTTCAATTTTCGTATTTCCATCTAATATAACAATTAAATGTAGTTTTACGATCACTTTATATCACTACTATTTAACCTATCACAGGAAAACTTTATCTTTTTACTTTTTACACATAAGTTTACCACTATTTTGATCAATAAGTTTACCAGCATAAATTCAATATTATTTTAACAACGATTACTTATCTTTTCTGGCGTAATGCACGTCTGTCCAAAAACTACTCTTGCAACGGTTACCTTACGCTTTTTATATCAATCAGCCGGAAGTGAAATTTTAATTATTTTTATAAAATCATCCTAAAAATCAGTTAAGTATCCATAATTTATAATTTAATTTTATTAAATTAAACAATAGTATTTCAGAATTTTTAAATGTAATAATATAATTATGAACTTCTTACTATTTGATTTATTTTCAAGCATTTATTTATAAGCATATAATTACAAAATTAGTAACTCGAAAAATATGTTTAATTTTAAGATATTGACTGTTAAATTATTAAATTTAAATATTTCTTTAAAAGTATAATCAATAGATATTCCATATTAATTTGAAGTAGTCAAATATTTCCTGTTAATTTATTAATGACTTTTAATGAAAATATTATTATTCATGATTTCTAATTATGTATATTATTTTATTATGTACAATTTTACTACTCCGTCTAAGCATAGTCTAACAGTTCCTCAGACCTGAGAAGAACTATTGGTGGCCCGTCAACACCAAAACTATTGGTGGCCCGTCAACACCAAAACTGTTGGTGGCCCGTCAACACCAAAACTGTTGGTGGCCCGTCAACACCAACTATTGGTGGCCCGTCAACACCAAACTATTGGTGGCCCGTCAACACCAAAACTATTGGTGGCCCGTCCGCTTCGACTTGTATAATATTAGTATGAATTACAAACAACAAATATTTCGTTTGCATATACTGAATATAAACAAATTTATAACCAAACTTGAAAAGACACTAGCAAAAGATTATTTCTATATTTTTCTTTTTATTTTGTAACTACACATTTTATTTATCTCTGTTTTGGTTTAACAGGTAATAAGTCTACTCAGCTATATTTATGTAAAAGTGGAAACTTTATTGGCCAGGTGTATTAATTTTGTTGTATTTTGCATTTGATGTTTGTATACGCTGTTTGTTTTCCAATTTTACATAACAAATAAATAAGCAAAAAAAAAAGTTTTGGGGCACTTAGGAGACAAGCTCAAAAACGTATAACTAAATCATTTGAAATTTGTATAAAAAGTTTAAGAAGGAGGAAAAATACCATTCCGCCTAATCGAGATTGCATGTTGGTAGCTTTTAGTAGCGTTCACCAGACTAGTTATCTATTATGGCAATAAGTATGATTCCTGGTTTTAATACCACTTGGTCAAAGTAATATGGTTGGATCTTACCAGCATTTAGGTCATAGACGATGCAAGCGTTGATACGGCCTCTGGGGTAGTCAAATAACCAGCTATAGGCCTGGCCAGGATGGGTACTTCCGAGTGCTGGGAGTGCCAGGACTGACATCGTTTTTCTAGCGGACTCCGAGACGGGATACCGGTGACGTTCCGGGATCCCACTTCTGAAAATTGATAAAACAGTGTATAAATAAACATATAATTTCAGGACGAGGAAAATAAGAACACAGTAAACCAATGCAATAAGCTTTATATTATCACTTTTTACTTTATAAGTTTTATAATGTCACTTCAATTTTCGTATTTCCATCTAATATAACAATTAAATGTAGTTTTACGATCACTTTATATCACTACTATTTAACCTATCACAGGAAAACTTTATCTTTTTACTTTTTACACATAAGTTTACCACTATTTTGATCAATAAGTTTACCAGCATAAATTCAATATTATTTTAACAACGATTACTTATCTTTTCTGGCGTAATGCACGTCTGTCCAAAAACTACTCTTGCAACGGTTACCTTACGCTTTTTATATCAATCAGCCGGAAGTGAAATTTTAATTATTTTTATAAAATCATCCTAAAAATCAGTTAAGTATCCATAATTTATAATTTTTATTTAGTATTTCAGAATTTTTAAATGTAATAATATAATTATGAACTTCTTACTATTTGATTTATTTTCAAGCATTTATTTATAAGCATATAATTACAAAATTAGTAACTCGAAAAATATGTTTAATTTTAAGATATTGACTGTTAAATTATTAAATTTAAATATTTCTTTAAAAGTATAATCAATAGATATTCCATATTAATTTGAAGTAGTCAAATATTTCCTGTTAATTTATTAATGACTTTTAATGAAAATATTATTATTCATGATTTCTAATTATGTATATTATTTTATTATGTACAATTTTACTACTCCGTCTAAGCATAGTCTAACATTATATCACTTTTATCAGGACACGACAGTATGGAAGAAGTAGAGAATATAATTATCCTAAAAATATATAATACGTAATATAAAGGAAATTTAAGGAAGTGCTCATCAGTTATTTTTTTATTGTTTCGTTTTTATAAAAATTAGCACTTGAGATCTACCTGCATTTCAGTACTTTCCAATGGTAATCAGAGGGAGCTGATCGATCATGTTTATCTGTAATATTGGCTACAATTTTAAGATAACCGAGATTTTTAAAACTTGGTGTATTAATATGAAATTCGTAAACATTTGCCATTTTATATAAATTCTTTTACGTTAAAAGTTTTGACTTGGGATTTACGCGCCAATGAATAATTTCAAGTAATAAACGTCACATTTTTTTTAACTATGCATGGCACAAAAATATACAGCTTACTGTGTTTAGTAATCCTAAAACATAAATATATATAATGCATGTATTGTGATTTCTAGACAGAAAAGAAAAATAATTTTTTTTTGTGTACATTACAAAATACATAGAAAAACGATTTTAAAATAAAGAACTACGTATGTACATAATGTATCTTATGTGAGCTCGAATCATGTGAGGATTTATTACTTAAATATTACCCGTTTCGCGTGATTATACTTGAGATTCAATTTTTAGATAAAGACTAGCATTGCTTGCGGCTCCGCCTGTGTTCAGATGACCAAAAACCAAATTCTTAGGTTTTACATATTAGTATACGCTTACATTGTAAAAAGGTACAAGGTAAAAAGTATCCTATATGTTGACCCGAATAACCAGCTATCACCATACCAAATTTCATCAAAATCCCTCCAGTGGTTTTTCTGTGATGCGGTAACAGACAGACAAAAATTCTAAAAACGATATATTCGGCCTCTGTATCGATAATAATGTTTATTTGAATAAAATTTTCCAAAAAATATTTAATGTACTGTGTACAGATTCGGCTTAGTTACACTTTTAATGTATGTATAGATTAAATAGTGAGTGAGGCGCCCAACATTTGATAAATTCTTAAAATTTATTGAAGCTAATTATATTATTGCCATGGCTTTAGCCTCACTACTGCTAATTGACAAAAGTGTTTTTGCATAATATTTATTAGCTAGATAGTATATTAGTAATTTATCTTAAGATGGAAATAAAAAAAAACTTTATTGAAATACTTATTTATTAAAATACATGTCATTAACAAATTACGTTTTAAATAAGTACTAAAATAGCACAAGAGTATTTAGAAATTTGATAAAATTAAAAATATTGTCATTAGAGATATTATTGATGACGATAACTATAGCTAAATTAATACTATTTTGGCACGACGCGACTGATCAATTATGATTCTCAAGCTTGTCACGCGCTTTACGTAAAACCCCCTGTGTCTTATGAATTTCACGACAAATAGCTCGTTGCACATTTCTTTTTCTCATATTTGCTGCATTAAGCTGCGTTAAAGTTTCTGCCAGTGTCGCTTTTGTTCTAGCTAATTTTTGTTTGAGGGTGACGTTTTCTTCATACAGTGAACCTGAAAAATTATTTATAGTTCTTGGTTACATTGGAATCAATAAGAATAATTTGTGTTATACTATTATTAAGTTGTTTATTCATAATAACAAAGGTCATAAATTATGCTTTTCATTTTTTACTTAAAAAAATAATAATTCGCTTTACCACTTAACTATTCAGGTATTAATTTTCATTTGATTTTTTAAATCTTTTGTGTGTACTTACAACACTTTTTACTTAAATATGCTAATTAGCATATTGACGTAAAAAAGTATTTTTTTTTTATTTTTCGCTCAAAATATATACTATATCCTCTTATAATTAATTGGTTTATTTCTTAGAGATCACATCATAGATAAAAATATGTAAGTTTACTTACGGGGAGACAGATTTATTTCATCATTTTGTTCTAAGCTTGAGAGCCTATCACTGTCTATGCCTTGATCAGGCGATGTAGGTCTTTCTTCCTCGAAAAAGACACCTTCGTGTATTTCAGCTATTTTATTATCAGCGTCCATTGCTACTTTGCGGGTAATTTCCATTTCTAACTGAGCATTAGCTTCCATGGCAGATGCTAGTTTTTCGCGTGTTTCTTCCAACTCTCTTTCAATACGTAACCGTTCGTGCTGGGCTCGCGCTCGCTCCAAGGCCGCCTGCGAGGCCTGCACGGTCGCCTCGTCGGCCGCGCGTCGCAAGCAACGTTCATTTTCCAAATACGTAGACTCCATCTCATGCTTCTCTGCACGTAATTTTTCAACCAGTTGTAAATTATGACCTATTTGTTGCTCGTTATCTTTAATTCTTGTTTCCAGAACGAAGACAGTGTGTTTAAGGTTTTCGAAGTTTTTGTTGGCCTCTAGGGCTGTCTGTTGTTCCAATGCCAGTGCAGCTTTGATTTCTGCTTTTTCAGCCATAAGTTCGTCTATTTGTTTTACTGCAAATTCTAGTTTGTCTCCCAAATCTTTTTTGTCTTTTTCTAGTTGTTGATTAAGTTTAGAAAGCTCGTCTACTTGTTCTACAAGGGCAAGTTCATTAATGGGTTTGTTGTCTTCGGACCTTGATCCATAAGACAGTTTGGACCGACGCGAACGGTATCGATTGTTTTCAGAGACACACTCGTGCACTGCTACTCCGGTGTCACAGAGGCCGACTCGAGCTAGTGACACGTTTCTGTCCGGTTCGGACCAACACTCCGACTCCGATATGACGTCTGCCTGTGGGATATTTCGAAGAGGTTTCTTTAAAGAGTATCTATTGTCCTCACTACACGTTAAGTGATGGCCGAACATTATGGTTAAGTCTTCGATTCTCATTGATTGCGATATATCGAAGTTGCTTTCATCCATTGTGAATTCCTCGGGGACCATTGATTCATCCAACTCTAAGCCAACAGGCAAAGCTAAACTTTGCTCGAGTATGCTTTCAGCTAGTTTTTTCTTCTCTTCGCCTAGAACACACCTGAAGAATTTTTGCATCAATTATTGGTTGTACTTTAAAGACTACTTTCTAGGTACATATACATCAACAATATATTATTAAATGAATCCAACATGTAGACTTACTTGTGCGACAGCAATTTGTCCAAAAAGTATGCCAGTCCTTGTAAACGCCGTGTTAGTAATTGCTGAAGATTTCTATAAATAAAAAGTTATATGTTTAGCAGGATATGAAGAGTAAAAATAATCTTTTACATTAAATTGTTTGATTATTACCCAGTGGTATCATCATTTGTGTTGTCAACATTTGTTTGCAGCTGTCTGACCCTGTTCTCCAAGTCCTTAATATGTTCATCCTTACATTTCAATATTTCTTCATATTTTTCTAACTGCGAATCACTCACGTGGGCGTATGCAAGTTCTTTGTCCTGTTTTGTTTTATAACATGTAAAAATACAGTCAAAACTTCTATAAATACTATTCCTATATCAATATCACGCATTTTAGTTGCTACAATTATGCATAAAACTAAAAGGCTAATAAATATATTGTGATATAAAATATAACATTTCATAATAACATACCAATTTAAGTTTTTTAATTTCCTTGTCTTGTTGCTGAATTTTTTTCATACAGCCTTTGATCATTTGAAGGGCTTTACGATTTTCTTTCTTTAACCTTGTTAACTGATCCTGAAGCAAATGTAGGCGAATTATATTCTGAGTCAAATACAAATAACATTGCAAGAAGGAACATGAAACTCTTACTTACCAAATCTTCATTATTAACTGTTACTGCTAAGTAATCTCTGAAACAATGATTTTTATCTTTAAAATTTAACTATGTTAATAAAATTGAAATAGCTGTTTGTAATGTCCAAATCACAGCTTTTACTAAATGCATATGAAAGTGTATACTTTCATATGCATTTAGTAAAAGACTACTACTACTGGACTGGAATGAATAAAAAAAAAACTTTTTTTTCTGTCAGTCTGTTTAATGACGAGATTTTCACTGGCAGATTAGGCGATGTTATAAAGAGTACCTTAGGCTACTCTTATTTAAAAAAAAATCAGGGTTTCGCACAAAAAAATTATAACCCATAAAATTGTGAACAAAACCGCGTACTTGGGGGTGTCCCTAGGCGAAGCGAGAGTAAGTCGCTAGTCATACAAATTTAAATAATTTATTATTTTTACGCAGATTTCATACATTTTCGAGTCCACTGGTCTTAAGAACAAAATATAACGATTTTGATAATCTTATTGATAATTAAAAATGAAAACATAAATATTTAAAAAACAAAACTTAAATATTTTTTAATATATCACTTACCCAGCTGACTCCGACTGACAGGTTTCATCCACAGCATCAGTGTGATTTCCAGTTTCCTGAAATATTAACTTGATGCAATTTTCTACTACTTGTTAGTTTAATAAAATAAACTTCCATTAATCACTTGCTTAATGACATGACACTCTAACACACGAAGACGAGCGTTTGTTGTTGAACTCACACAAAACAATATCGGCAAGTAGTGTTTGTTGGTAAGTTTTCTTGAGAGCTAAAGCTCTCAAGAAAACGAAGGTAAAGCATTTTTTTTATAAAAACATGTTCTTTTAATTAAAAAAAATGGATCTTTTATTTTTAATGCATCATATCACATTTGTACAATTCCTTTTATACATGATATTATTGCTAAAATAGCAATTAACTGATGTGTTTTTTCACACTTTTTGAATAAATTGACATATAATCCCAAAAACTATTTATGGCCACACACAAACCCAGAATATCAAGGTGCAGCTATATAAGAGGAAGTTAGACTATATCTGTACAAATACCTTTTGTGGTTCGTTGTTTTCCTTCTTCATAGTAATACTATTGTTTGTTGATACATCTGCAACCTCAGTAGAAATGGAGCCCTATATATGAGGAAAATTAATTATTATATGGAGATTAAAACTTAACACTATGATCAATACAAATAAATAAGATTGAAGGGTCTGTTTGTAATGTCAAAATAACAGCTTTTTACTAAATGCATATGAAAGTATACATAATATATATGGTACTTATAGAAAGAAAAATTAATTTTTGTTTGTGTGTTTATTTCTGCTAATCGGCTTGATCGATTTGACGGGAATTTCACTGGCAAATAGCTGATGTCATAAAGTGTTACTTCGCCTACTTTTATTTTGGAAAAAGAATTAGGGTTCCGCGCAAAAACCAATTAAAACCCATGAAATTGTGAACAAAATCAGCTTACCTAGGACCACTAGTGATAAATAAAAAAACAATAATAATATCACCTGGTTTTCTAGAACATCAATTGCCTCAGCTGCAGCTGCAAGTAACTCCTGCTTATCAGTAAGTTGCCTTCTCAGCTCTTCTACTTCCACTTGAAGACGGACATTGTGTTCTAAAAGCCCCTGAAAAAAACATATAAAGATAAGTAAATGTTGTTTATCTTCTACATAATAATATAAAGAAAAATGAACGTTCGTATATTTGTCCTCTATGCGTTTCTAAACCATTGATCCGATTGCGCCTCGAAAGTTTTTGGCCCAAGAAAAAGTTTTTCTTTCTTTGGACTTTTATCTTTCGTTCCTAAGCCATTCAAGCTCAGGGAAGCACCCGAGCGAAACGAGGGCATGTCGCCAGTTGTTTTATAAAATACGTAATATAGTGATCTTGTTTCGCTCGGGTGCGTCCTGAATCCTAATAGGTCTTTTTGTCATACTCTTTATTGCTTTATTTCAAACTAGCATTGCCCGCGGCTCCGCCCGCGTTCAGATGACCAAAAACTAAATTCTTAGGTGTTACATATTAGTATACTCTTACATTGCAGTTTTTGTATTTTTCCTCAGAAATAAGATATTTTCCCGCGGTAAAAAGTATCCTAGGATCGCGCGCTACATCGCCCGGTTTATATAGCTTGAGCAGGCGGTCGAGCGATGCGGGGCAGAGGGGATGGACTCGCCGTAGGCATCTCAATGCTCGCCAAGCATTAAAAATGTTTCGCTACTAATTACTTCTAACAACGATATCTCAAAAACTATTCATCTGATTGATTTAGTGTAAAGAGCAATTTTAATCTGCATTAAATGACTAAGCTAACTAAAATATTCATTTGGATAAGGATTAATACCGAACTAAAGAAAATAACTTTGAAAATAACGTAATGTTTTTAATTAAAAATGTTAACATAAAAGTGGTTATTGTAAGTCAACCGTAAGAGATAGAGATATGCTATCGCGGACTTTTTTGTAGCATTTTTATAGATTTTGAATTCTCTAGTACATTACTTAACTGTATCTTTGCTAGTTTACGCGGCGTTCGCGTGGAAAGTTCCCATTTGGCGAGATTTTTTGCGACCTCTTCAACATTTGTCGCCGTATTTCAGCTAATTTACATAAAAGCATAATAAATTATATACCTAAACCTTCCTCAAGAATTACTCTTTCTATTGTTGAAAACCGTATAAAAATCCGTTCAGTAGTTTTCGAGTTTATCGCGTACAGACAGACAGGAGGACAGAAAGACGCGGCCGGGGGACTTATTTTTATAATAAGTATAGATTGTTTAGACAGTGCACGCACCGCAGTGGCGGATTTAACCTTGACGCCGCCCCTGGGCGTAGTAAAAAATGACGCCCTATTATCGAAATTTTGAATAAAATATTGAAAGTTAAAAAAAAAATTATTAATTTTTTGAAGTGTAAAAAAATAATTTATAAATTATATCAATTTTTCAAAAAATGTACCTACTAGTTAAACTTTTTTATTTTTCATTTTTTGTAAAATGAAAAAAGCATTTTCGATAACGCGAAGAAAGATTTTTTCTTGCCCTCCGAAATTTGCTGCCCTGGGCACTAGCCCTGATTGTAAGCCCAGCGCTGAGCGCACGCCAATAAAGCAACTCAACTGCCACTTTTCATCCGATTTCAATTAAAAGCCATTTAATTTGGTAATAAATCCATTTTTATCGAAAAAAATAGCCTATAGCAAGCACTTGGTGGTAATGTAGCTTCCTATTAGTGAAAGAATTTTAAGAATCGAATCAGTAGTTACAAAGATTACCCCCTACATATAAACTTGCAACCCTCTAAGCCTGTTTATATTTTTAATTCGCACAAAATGCCTCTTAACAAATTTGTATGTGTAAACATAATATATTTACCGTTTTATTTTTTATAATTAAAAATAAAGTATCTGTAAGAATTATAGCTAACGTAACGTATTTTTTGTATATTAGATAGGTATAAAAATAGGTCATAAAGCATTTTTCACCATCCTACCTGCACCCCCCATTTTTTATCGCGAAATTAGTATTTATGTATCTTACTTTAGATTTCTTTGATAATTTATATGACAGAACAACGTTTGCCGGGTCAGCTAGTAAGTTTCATTATAAAAAAATTGTGTTCATGGCGTGTTTTTTGTATTTTTTTTAACAATATATCCAAAATATCCAATGCATTAGTGATATCTTTCAGGCAAAAGGGTAGAAAAATAAGTATGTGCATAGGAAATAGCGGTGTATCAACTTGCTATTTGTAGATACTAAGTATGTATGTATTTACTACTGTCATATACCATCTATTACTAATAAAAGCAAATTTACATTTTATTTATTTAATAAAGGCATTACAAACAAACTCGCCCGAGTTTGTTTGTTTGAACTATTTGAAATATTCTTTTTGCATTAAATATCCCTTTTGTTGTGGAAGGCTATATCTATACTTATTATAAAAATAAGTCCCCCGGCCGCGTCTTTCTGTCCTCCTGTCTGTCCTCCTGTCTGTCTGTACGCGATAAACTCGAAAACTACTGAACGGATTTTTATACGGTTTTCAACAATAGAAAGAGTAATTCTTGAGGAAGGTTTAGGTATATAATTTATTATGCTTTTATGTAAATTAGCTGAAATACGGCGACAAATGTTGAAGAGGTCGCAAAAAATCTCGCCAAATGGGAACTTTCCACGCGAACGCCGCGTAAACTAGCAAAGATACAGTTAAGTAATGTACTAGAGAATTCAAAATCTATAAAAATGCTACAAAAAAGTCCGCGATAGCATATCTCTATCTCTTACGGTTGACTTACAATAACCACTTTTATGTTAACATTTTTAATTAAAAACATTACGTTATTTTCAAAGTTATTTTCTTTAGTTCGGTATTAATCCTTATCCAAATGAATATTTTAGTTAGCTTAGTCATTTAATGCAGATTAAAATTGCTCTTTACACTAAATCAATCAGATGAATAGTTTTTGAGATATCGTTGTTAGAAGTAATTAGTAGCGAAACATTTTTAATGCTTGGCGAGCATTGAGATGCCTACGGCGAGTCCATCCCCTCTGCCCCGCATCGCTCGACCGCCTGCTCAAGCTATATAAACCGGGCGATGTAGCGCGCGATCCTAGGATACTTTTTACCGCGGGAAAATATCTTATTTCTGAGGAAAAATACAAAAACTGCAATGTAAGAGTATACTAATATGTAACACCTAAGAATTTAGTTTTTGGTCATCTGAACGCGGGCGGAGCCGCGGGCAATGCTAGTATTATATAATATATAGTATATTTATTCCGTACTAACCGATATAAATATAATAAAACATTATGTATTAGGCGTTATTTAGTTTTTTTAATGTAACTCACTTGAACAGCTGGTGGCGCTCCAGTTCCCAATTTTTCTTCTAAAAAATATATCCTTAATTTCAAATGAAAATTCTCCTTTCTTAAACCATTGAGTTGCTCTTCATACTGTTTCATGCTTACACCACTAGCACTGGTCACATCTGAAATTTTATTGGTAAAATTATATGACCTACTATTAGTATTATATTGTTATTAGTCTCAATGTTCTTTTAGTTTCAGGTACTATTTAACTTAACATAACTTTTTACAGTGTATTCCGATTACATTGATTCATTTTTTATTGGATAGAAGGTATACCTCAAAGTGAGTCCTGTTAAATTTGAAAAAAAAATCCATCCTAAGTATAGAAAATAAGAGGAATGGTTGATTTTTCGAAGTCAAAGTATTTTTTCTTTGATATCAGCTGGCACAGCCGATACATATCAAAAACAAAATACTATTGAAAATGTTTAAATGATTTTTTTTTTATTATTTAATACCAAGGCCAATTCAAGTCAAAAAGCTACCTATTGAATATTTGGAAAACATAAAAAAATAAAAATTGCTCACCATGCCCATCAGAAGCAGGAAGAGTCATTTCTTGTAATTTCCGGGGACTGGTACTGTTAAAAAAATGTATGATTTTAAAAATGAAAAAAAAATTGTTGAGAAGAAAATTACGTAATTGTTTAGATATTATAATTTGTTAATTTTATTTTTTATTTGAGAACCAAATTGAATACTTGTAGACCTATTTTTTACATTCTATAACTTTCATGTTGACTATGCAGGTGACGGAATAAGAAAGTATAGGAAAGGAGCCAAAAATTCTTTAAAAATTAGAAATTTAACTTCCGGAAGTCGCGTTTATTGTCTAAAAAATCCGATCTAAGAAATCGAATTGATTGAATTTCACAGAATTATGACAATCCTGATTACTTTGATAAAACATTATGTGGTAACAACAAGTTATACGTGGTTCAACTGCCTCGGTGGTGTAGTGGCTAGCATGTACGGCTGCACACCCGGAGGTCCTGGGTTCGAGTCCCGGGTCGGGCCAAATTTAGTTATTGAGTCTTTCTATATAAGTAAGCCTCAGTAACAGCCCGGAGTTGGGAAGTTGGCGGTGTTCCACTCCCGTGCCTCGGAGAACACGTAAAGCCGTCGGTCCTGCGCCTTAACTCTCACCGGTCGTGTCGAGCAGTCGTCCCAACGGAATATGAGAGTGACAGGAATAGAGAGTGCACTTGTGTCTGCGCGTACACTTGTGCACTATAATATCTCCTGCGCAGTTGGCTAGTCTCAATGAGATTGGCCGCCGTGGCCGGAATCGGTCGGGAGAACATCATGTGGTAAATGGTTTATAGAATAGTTTAAATTATACTAAAATGAGTAGGGACATTTGTTTGTTGCCCAACATAACCACTAAACCTATTTTAGCCAGTAAAGTAGTAGCTTGTATTTTGATACAAATCTAGTATAAAAGTTATTTTTTATGAAAGAAATAAAAATTATTAGTGAAATTTTGTTATTGTATGGTATATTCAGTGTTTTTTAACGTCCCACTGCCGGGCCTCCCTTCAATACGAGGAGAATCAGGCAGGACATGCATGTTTCCTCGCGATGTTTTCCTTCACAGTAAGAAGAGTGGTTATTATGTTGGAAATGATTTGCACATGAAAATATCAGAGGTGCGAAACCTGGAATTTGTAGCCACTTCACTCGATTTCTTAAGCAAGCACGTTACCACTGGGCTACCAATGCCTTTCTGTTGTACAAGTTATTTAATTTCAATTGGTTTTAGCTAATATTAAAAGTAGGTATCCAAATTCCCAAAAATAGTTTTGATAATGAACATGATAAACTTGACCTATTTACTTTCTTTAAAACAAAAAAAGAATAATATGTGGCTAGAACTATTTCAAAACTGCATGTTGAATATACTCACACACATACCTAATATTATCTTTATTATAATGTAATAGTATCTATATGTTTTTTTTTTTAGTTCAATAGTTCACAGCATTGTATCATGTAAGTATAATAGGACATTTTATAGTAGGTAGCTACTGGTATGTGACTATATGCATCCATGTCCATTTGCTTTACATATAATAAAATTGTAACCAAGCCGAATCTGTACATTAAATATTTTTTGGAAAATCTTATTGAAATAGACATTATTATCGATACAGAGGCGGAATCTATAGTTTTTAGAATTTTTGTCCGTCTGTCTGTTACCGCATCACGGGAATACCACGGGATAGATTTTGATGAAATTTGGTATGATGATAGCTGGTTATCCGAGTCTACATATAGGTTAGTTTTTACAGCGGGAAAATGTCACATTTATGAGAAACAATACAAAAACTGCAATGTAAGAGTATAATAGTATGTAAAACCTAAGAATTTGGTTTTTGGTCATCTGAACGTGGGCGGGAGCCGCGGGCAATGCTAGTAGTTTCATATAATCTATGCGGCTGCTATCTAATGTAAACAAATTAGTTGCGTATAGGTAGGTATAATAAGGTCTGTTGAATATAATTATTATGTATTTATATAAAACTTATAATTTCATTTACCTAAAAGGCGAGGAAATATTACTACAACTATGTTTTGATACATTCATTCGCGGTAAAGTTGCCATTGCAAATGTACAAAATAATTCACTTAAAATATTGCACCTAATAATATAATAAGACCACAATATCACATAAAGAACACGTCAATTTCACTGTGCACTTCTAATGTCTATTAATAAAACACTGCTTTTAAATACTACATTTAAACAATTATATAATGATATCTCAAATTATAAAAATAATGTTATAAAATGTATTAAACAAGGCTCAACTTTAGTATCTTTAACAAGCAAACAACAAAAATTTGTAAACGGTCTTGTGTTGATCGTAGTTGTTTTGATGGCACATACGAGATTACTGAAATTGGGACAGACTCGTTCGGGTTACATTCGGGAACGGTCGACAGTCTCCGCATTTTACGAAGATAAAACGCTCTTGCTCACTTAAATAGAATGGGATAAAAAGAGAAAAATATATGTTTAAAAGGGCGAAATGACAAAAGATGTTGTAAAGGGCGGAGACGGATGCTGATCATTACACAGCACAAAAATAGACACTCTGATTAGTTCTGAATTTTGAAAAACAACTACCTATTATACAATAAAGCGTGTTGGCTACCCTCTGATTATTCATAAGTGTAACCAAGGTTTAAATAAATGGAAAATAAAGTTAATCTTATATTTATATATATATATATATATATATATATATATATATATATATATATATATATATATATATCTTGCTATAATAAAACAGTAGAGATCGAATGTCTGTACATAGCAAAACAAATGCCAAAAATCGAGTCAGGGGGATGTAAGAAGACAAAAATAGAACAAATCCAGATTTTTTCAATTTTTTGTTTTTCTGTATGTTTGTCTGTTTGTACGGGCTAATCTCCGAATCTATTGGACCGATTTAAATCAAATTTTGTATTTTTGTGTGGTGGTACCTTATATCCCCGGTCAACATCTTAGATACTTTTCATCCCGGAAAATTAAAAGTTCCCGTGGGATAGTTAAAAAACTATAATAACTTATACTGCTTAGTACACAACAACTTATGGCCCTTTTTTTTTAACGTTGGGAAATGCATTTACGCACGAGGTGTGGGACTCACCGGCAAAGCCAGTACTACCCACTAAAACCCAACAAAGCCTTCCCCCGTCTTAATGGGGCGTCGCAGGATCGCTTACGCATTCAACTACGACGCCCCGACGGCAGGTCTGCCGAAGCAGACCACAACAACCACGGGGTTGCTCCAAGGTCCACTCTGCTATCTAGCTAGTACCAGGAGCAACCCGCATGGTACACCGCTCTCCGAAGAGGGCCAACTCCCACCGTCCACCGAAGTGGGCCACCTCTCTGTGCGTTTCTTGGCTTCGCGCCCGGTTGGGTTGCCGGGCACTACTGAGCCCCCCCACCACGACAAGGTGAACGCACGTTGGGGGGTAACAACTTATGCCCCTAATTTAGTAAAATTTAACATTCTGATACCTTATATTGCCGGTCAAACAACAGGTTACTTTTCATCCCGGAAAAATGAACGGTTCCCGTGGGAACTACTAGATCTCTTTTATTGTTTTGCTAGAGGCGAGCCCGAGCGAAGCGAGGGTGAGCCGCTAGTACATGGCACAATTATATTAATGTCAATGAAGTAGAAATTTTCGAGCGACCAGATGATAAAGAAGGAAACTAAGATCTAGGTACGTATTTCTATTTTCTAATAATAAATTTTAAGAAAATTCTTTTTTCTACATTTGAACTGCAATTGTGATTTCATACAATATGTATTAGGCACACTTACTTACTGCCTCGGTGGTGTAGTGGCTAGCATGTATGGCTGCACACCCGGAGGTCCTGGGTTCGAGTCCCGGGTCGGGCCAAGCTTAGTTATTGAGTCTTTCTGTATAGTAAGTCTCAGTAACAGCCCGGAGTTGGGAAGTTGGCGGTGTTTCACCCCCGTGCCTCGGACAGGACGTAAAGCCGTCGGTCCTGCGCCTTAACTCTCACCGGTCGTGTCGAGTGGTCGTCCCACCGGAGTATGAGAGTGATAGGAATAGAGAGTGCACTTGTGTCTGCGCGTACACTTGTGCACTATAATATCTCCTGCGCAGTTGGCTAGTCTCAATGAGATTGGCCGCCGTGGCCGGAATCGGCCAGGAGAACATCATTAGGCACAAGTAGGTACCTGGGCCACCGAGCTTTGCTCGACGTTTTTGGTTCAAAAGAACAATTTTCTTTAAAAAAACTAAAAAATTGAATAAATACAAAAAAATATATATATAATATATATACCTTTGTATCCGACCGGGATTCGAACCCGAACACCTATGATTGTCAATCTTGCGTCTTTTTTTTTTTAACTAAAAAAAAAAAACTTGAATAAATATTATAAAAACAAAAGTAAAAACTTTGTATGCGACCGAGATTCGCTTGAACACGATGCTTATACCCGAGCGTGCAAATTACCGACCATATTTTGCGTGGAATAATGCAAAAGAAAACTGCATAAAAAATCGAAAATACGCGTTTTCTCAGACATATGACTAATCTAGATCGATTTACCGCCCCCGACACACCCTGTGTACTAAATTTCATCAAAATCATTGAAGCCGTTTCCGAGATTCAGATTACAATTAAAAAAAATAGTATTATTATTCGCCAATAGATGTCAGAAAGAGTCATTTTTTTCAGTTTATTAAGTGGCAGCATTAGGACTACCCAAACGCCACCTTTTAATTATTTTTTTCCAATAAAAAAAAAATAAGTTTATGTTTTAGTTGATTATCGATAAAGTTGATTATTGAAAATACGAATAAACCGACATTTTCTAAAAATACCTGGGCCACCGACCTTCACTCGGAGTTTTTGAGCAAAATTTGATCTTCAATATGTTAAAATGGGGCGAGGTTATATGAGACTTTTGGCACACATGTAGAATACTAATGCCCGATTTAACCAACAACCCATAAGCTACCACCTACGTATGGGATCCCTAGCTTAAAAATCCCCTAAACTAGACCCTAAATTAAATTTCGTTTTACGATCGTCTTTAAGCCCATATTTCGAGCACCTAAATTTAGGGGACTCCTAATATTTAGGTGACCCCTTACTGTTGGTGAAACAGAAACTGTCCCCTAACAGCCCCCTAACCATGCTTAGGGGATCCCTTAAACTTAGGTGACGTTGGTGAAATCGGGCATAAAACTAAGGTTTATACACATTTTGAACTTATCACCTCTGATTCTGAAGTGAATCCCCCTAACTTGACTGTATTACCATGAGGCCTCATCACGGACAAAGAAAAATATTATATATTCAAGCAAACAAAAATAGCTCCAATTTCTTTGTATGGGATGAGGCTGTATTATGTGATCTGTGGTATCACTAAGGTAAAACCAAAAATTGAAAACTATACAATATTTCTATAATCTAACCCCACATAAAAAAAAGTTGCAATATATTAGCAAAGATTATAAATTAAAATATATATCGCAACAATTAAAAAGCTTCTAATTTTTAATTTTTGTCTTATTTGACAAAGATTTCAGTTTCATGAAAATAGACAACATAAAACATGCTTGAGTGTCTTTTGTCCAATTTCACTTTTTTTTATTTACAGTCCAAATAGAACAGTGCAAAAAGTTTTGAAATTTTCCACTGCTTTAAGGTACACTATGAAATAACATAATAAATAATAGTAAGAATGTTTTTTTAACTTTTTTATTAATGTTGTATTAAAAAAAATTGAAATTTTACAAAGTTTTACTTTAGGCATAATCATATTATACTTTATTATTTATATTTGCACAATACTATAAAAGCTCAAATAATCATTATAATATTTATACATACGAAGATATATGTAAATCTGTGCCTTTTTTTACATATTTAGGAAATGCATTTACGCATACCACCTGCATACATACAGATGAATAAGTGGGACTCACAGGATAGAAAATCCAATACTACCCACTAAAAACCTAACAGAACCCGCCTCCCATCTTAATGGGGCATCGCAAGATTACACAATTGAATACATATCTATGCCTAATTCAACCTTTATGAAATCATTTTTCCCAAAACATTTCTCCAAACTTAATTTATGGATAAAGGATGGACGAGAGCAATAGCTATGGTGGCCAATCTCACTGAGACTAGCCAACTGAGATAGGATAGGAGATTTTGTAATACACAAGTGTGCCTGGCACACAAGTGCACACTCTTTTATTCTCCTTTAATATTTCAACACTTCTGGTGGGAGTTAAGGCACAGGACCGACAGCTTTATATGATATCTTTGGTATGCATGCATGCATTGAGCTTTTTATGGTATGAGCCCTGCATGGGGTATGGCATCGCCAATTTCTGAACTCTGACACAACAACAACTAAAAAAACAAAACAACTTACAACTTAACAAAAGAAAACTTGGCCCGACCCGGGATCTCCCAATTTGGGAGTCGTACATGCTAGCCAGTAGTAAGTACAGTATAGACTATTTTTTACTTTAGTATTACAATATTCCTGTGGAATAAGTAGATTGTAAACTAAATTAATAGCTCGACTGATTTCAGAACTTTCATTGATAGGCACGACTCTTTGGACGCAAGATGTAAGATTACGGATGAATGTACAATACATCTAATCTACATTTAAAGTGGTTCACCACTATTTAATGATAGTGTTATACCTACTAATAATAAATTCAATTTTCTTGTTATGGATTCAAAGCATGCCACTTGAGAATATAAATCTTTTCGTCATTATCTTTTAGCTCCATTGTAATGGGCAATTCTTTATATAAATATTGTTTATAAAACTCAATACTCACATGATACCTTCTACTCCTGATTCTGCCATGATTTTGTTATATTTTAATATTTTTCAATGGATTGGTAAACTACTCAATAAGGTTTTATTCTATGGCAGTTAAAAAAAAAAACACCATGGATCTCTCATAATATTTATACTAATTATCACACGATGTAATATTGAATAATATAAAAATTATGATAAAAAAAACTTTAAGTTTACAATTCTTTCGCCGTTTTGTAATATATAAATAGTTTAATTTATATATAATAATATCAAATAATCAACTGCAGCCGCAACTATTGTCATTGAACAATTCAAATGATTCAAATTCAACGAATTATCCATCCATATTCCATTTGCCCATAGATGATTAAGCAACAATCAACATAATTTACCATAGATTAGTTATAATCTCTTAATATATTTAATGATTACCACAAATTTACAAGAGGTACCCTACCCCAGCCTGCAAATTTATGATATTCGCAATGAAAAAAATACTAATCGATAGATTTTTAATAGCTCAATTCAACTACGTAGCCCTTCCAAATTGCTCACCATTAATTATAAAATTAAAAATCAATAAAGTCCTTGAAAAAAAATTCATTTATCCGTATATTCAAATTTCTATATCTTTTGATATATACAATATTTTAAATTGCTCAAAGTTCTAAAATACTGCTCAAGTTGCATTTGTAATTGCTCAAGTAGAGTTCTCACCAGCTCCACTTTCCTTAATTATTAAATAAATATAAATAGTTTGAATAAATTTAAATTTAAATTTTTAAATTTTTTATTTATTGCTTCCAGGAGCTAAACAGGATCGTAGCAGTATTATTAAATTATTGATTGCTGATCAGAGTTCAAAATTCCTTTATATTAAAGGCAGTTTATATTCATGCAGTTTGTTTCTTTGAAATAAAAATGTCATTAAACTATATGTATATTTAAAAATAAAAAAAGTTCCGTCTTGTATTGATGTTAATAACATTTTACTAATGATCCCTGTCATGGCTATTACCTTAATAGAATAAGCATTTGAACATAAGATTTTGTCTTAATTTATCTGTTGGTATTAATTTTCATTTATTGGTAGATTCCAGATCTGTTCTTTATGTTATAATATCTGAAGTGGAATCACGTAATGTGAACAATTCATAAATTCATTAAATTTAAAGAAATCCACCGAGAAACAGAATTAAGACGTTGAATTGGAACGATTGTCCAAGCCCGCCGAGGCCGACCGACAATGCGCGGTGCGCATGCGCACGCTCACTTAACCTACGTTACATTTATTACAACTATACTTTTAATTATTTAATAATCAGCTAAAGTGGAGCTGGTAAAAACTCTACTTGAGCAATTACAAATGCAACTTGAGCAGTGTTTTAGAACTTTGAGCAATTTGAAATATTGTATACATCAAAAGATATAGGAGTTTGAATATACAGATAAATTAATTTTTTTTCAAAGACTTTATTGATTTTTAATTAAATAATTAAAGGTGAGCAATTTGAAAGGGCTACGTAGTTAAATTGAGCTATTGAAAATCTATCGATTAGTATTTTTTTCATTGCAAATATCATAAATTTGCAGGCTGAGGTAGGGTAGGTATTTACAAGGATATACAACTTACAAGTACAAAATAGGAAACGTGCACATCGCATAATGTGCTCGTTTCCTATTTCACTTAATTACCTGTTAATTACATACATATTTGTATGATTGGCATATCTATTTAATAAAAAATATTTATTTGAAAGCCTATTCACTCACGCACAACGGGCAAAAATGCTAAAGTGCGGAAAAGTGAAGAAGAAGAAGAAAGCAGTTTATAACTATACTCTTTGGAAGAAAGCCTATTCACTGAGAGTGGTGAAAATAGAATTAAATAGATTTAACGTGTCATTTTTACCCGACTGCGCGACATACATACGAGTATAAAGTACATCTCGCGGGAAAGATGAAACGTGTTGTCTCCGACTGCATAATACTATATTCCTTCGTGAACTTGTTTTCATCTTTTTAGTTAGCTTTTATGCAGTCGGGTTTTTTATTTTTATAATATGTTTATTTCCTCTATGTATAATAATTTTTTGTTGATGAAAAATATATAATATACTTGTTTATTTTTTTTATTAAATTAAAACGTTTCTGCCGCTGCAGAATTGCCACGCAGTCTGCTTCCTAATGCCGTCTTCTTTTGTGTTCTCTGCTACGCGTGTAAACTATCTTGTAAACTGTGCTGTTTTTTACTCCTTCTGTTTCTTTTCTTTTTTTACTCCTTCTGCCAAACTGACATCTGTTAACTTTACGTTTAGGTACTACATTGTGCAATGTACTGTGATTCAAAAGTTGGTGGTTTAATTTAATTTTTATCGTAAATAATTAATGTTAGTTTCTAATATTAAAAAAGTATTATTAATAAAATAAGATTTATACAGTTCTTACATTTTTATTGGTTATTAACTTAATTATCCCAAATCATTGAGTGTTTAATTTATTATTATTTATCTATACTAATATTATAAAGAGAAAAGATTTCATTTTTTGTTTGTTTGTTTGTACTGAATATGCCCCAAAATTGCTCAACCGGTATAGATGAAATTTGGTATGAAGATAGTTTGAGACCCTGAGAAGGACATAGGATATTTTTTATTCCGGAAATCAACCCTTAAGGGGAGAAAATAGAGATGAAAAGTTGTATGAAGAATCAACCTAGGGACGAACCCGAGTGAAGCGATGATAATTCGCTAGTTTTATACATAATAAATGTATTTTATCATAAATTTTTCAATTAAACTCTAATAACTTGATATTTTATAATATAAATTATAAAAACTGTATAGTAAACGTCTACCAAACAGCGAAAGGAACTTCGTTCCGACGGGGGTTCCATAGACCCCTAATTTTTTATGATTTCTTTATCTAAAATCATCATATAAATATACATCTTCCCACGCAAATTCAGATTTCTACCAATATACTTCTTAATAACGGAAAAATTAGGGTAATGTTAATTTTTTTTTTCTCGAAACTACTTGAGAATTATCTCAATGTTTGTGAAGGTTTGCCAAGTGTGTGCACTTGGTATTAGATTATATTACATAGCATACAATAAGAATAGATAACCGTTAATTTGTATAGTAATCTGTTGTCTACTTAATCTGTGCTGGTATGTCAACCATATGTCAACTGTCACTAATGTCTAAGGGCATGCCGTATAAATTATAATAGAATTTTTCATTAAAATTTATAATTATAAAATAAAGAATTGATTCAATATAAAAAGAAGTATATTAGATAATTATGTCGCTCACAATAAATATTCGTTCTCTAATTAATAGAGTAATTTTCTCAGAAATTAGATGTAATAAGCGATTTTACTCTGATCAATCAGATGAACCTGGTGAAGATGAGCAAAAACCAATTGACCCAACAAAAGATAGAACAAAAATTATTCCTGTAGAGACCAGTATACGGTATTTACAAAGTAAAGCATATAAACAGACCTACGGAGAAAATCCTGTTTGGTTTCTATATAGACGTAATCATTTGGGTGGTTTTGCTCCAAAGAAAACTAGAAGAACTTGCGTTCGAAATGGGATTATATCAACAGGAAATCCCTGTCCTATATGTCGAGACGAATATCTTGTTTTAGATCCCAGAAATACTAAATTGCTAGAGCAATTTATATCTGAATATACTGGACAGGTAGAGTAAAATTGATTGTTACTAGAAAATTACAATGAGTTTTTCATGTTATGCTGAGTTATTCAATTAGTAATATTAGTAATTAGTTTTTACATTAACTTTACATGCTAATACATTTACAACCTTCCATGTTTCACTATTTTATATTTATAACAAAGCTTAATAGTTTTGGCACTCTTTTCAGTCCTAGACACCCAAAGACTTTTATGCTTTTCTGTTTCAAAAATCATTGAATTTGATTTTTGAGACCCAAGATATACTGAATTTTATAATTTAACATTAAATGTTTAATGCTCATTATAATAAGAAACAAAAATAAAGACTATATTTTCTTATTTAAAATTTATTGATGTAAATCAATTTAGAGTACAAGATTATATTGTCATACTATAATTACAGTACATATTAAATTAGTGTTAAAAATGATACAATTATATATAATTTAAAGTGATGTTATAAATTGTATAGTAGTAGTATTACATTAAAAATATTCAAAAACAAATAATGTAACTAATTCAAAATTATATTATTACAGATACTTGATGCTTTTAAAACTGGATTGTGTCAAAAAAAACATAAAGAACTGTTGGTTGCAATTGAAAGGGCCTGGGATCAAGGTTTCTTGACTTATGATGTACCATTCAGGGAATATGATTATACTCTTTATAATAAGAATGCAATTTAAATGTATAGTAAGGAATTAGTTAGAGTTAAATTAAAACTATGTATATTAAATACTTAAACATATAAAATATCTTTGTTTTTTTATTTATAAATTATTTAATTTTTTGTTAAAATCAATTATTAATGGCACATTCATCTTTGTATTATATATACATATTTAAGTGAAATTATCCATTATTTTTGTTCTGTTTCTTTGTGATAACAGTTCTCTTATTAGAGCAGACTTTTCTCTTTCCAAAACAGATATTCTTTCATTTTTACGGTTCACCTCCTGTAACAAGAAAATCATACAGTAAAAAAAAATGTAATATTACTGATAAAAAAAGCTATAATTGTAAACCCTTTAAAAACAATTGACAATGGACACATTACTTATGATAATGATTGTTTTGTGTTGAATGAAACCAAGTTCCAGATTTTTTAACTTGTAAGTATCTCTCGGAATAAAGAATTTTCATTTTTTTTTATGAATAAAAATCAAAATTTAAAATAAACAATAATTAGGTACATTTTTTAAGATCTTTTAAAAACTACAAAGATATGCTGATTGATCTCTTTAGGCCCTAAGTGACGTCATCACACTCGCATCCATTGCCATATAATTATCAAATATCAGTTTTTTTTGCTAAATTGTTACTTTGTCCTCCCCAAAAAATATTTTTATAGTCAAATATAAATTAAAAACTACACATTTAAAATTAGATTTGGCTACACTGAATGTTTGACGTCGGACTAGAAATATAATTTAAGAAATACAGAAACATAATGCGTAAAATAAGTTTATGAGTATGAGACATGTTGCTTATTTAAAGCAAATTAAATTTTACCACAAGGTATTATATTTAATTATGGCTAAATAGTATAAAATGAAATTTAATAATATCTGACCTCTGCAAGCATTCTGTTCTGAGATCTAAGTACAGCTGCGTTGTTAGGTGTGGGCATTGCATTCATGGTAGCTGGTAAGGCAAGGTTCATATGGAGAGACAAGGGCCCGTGACGCCATCCTGAAGCTAATGCGCCGAGTTGTCGATTCAATTCCAAAATTCGAGCCCGCAATAGTTCCAAGCGTTCTTGATGTGCTTCATTCCAGGGTTCCTTAAAAATAAAAATATTATCGATGAAATCCGATATGAACATCCACATAACCCCATTTGATTCGACAAACCAAGTTCGGCAAATAGCTGAAATAATAATCCCTCAACGACCGCGGACACGCCGGCGTTACAGTTAACAATAGATTTCTTAGAAATTTATTTAATTTCATAGAAATTTACCTGGACGTGTAATTAATGTCGACAGGCAGTACAAATCTCGTAAATTAAACTAAACTTGCAGAGATTTTTCGGCTAACTATCTAAAGAATTCTGTCTTTCGATTTTAAAAAAAATAAGGCAATCTGTCTATTTATCCATAATTACAGAAAATACAATTATTTGAAAAAAAAATTGGAGAAAATAAACATATCAGGACATTAACACACAGCACCGTCTAGTTCCATGGCAAGCTACGAGGCTTGTGTTGTGGATACCAGATAGTTAATACACTATACATATATAACTTTAAATACATACATATTATAGATGTAAACATCCATGACTGGAGTACAAACACTTGTGGTCATCACATAAATGAATGCCCCCAGCGAGACTCGAACCCGCGACCGCTGGCACAGCAAGTACTAGTCACTAGAAACTGAGCCAAACGTGCGTACATTTACGTACAGAATGATAACTTAGAAACGAAAAAATATTGCCAGAGTTTTACGATATACGGATAAAGAGCTGAGTGTAAACTTAGAAATAAAGTCCCAACTCGACCTTTAGGATACGAAATCCAAAAAATAAAATAAAAAAAACACATTTATTTCACATTTGGTATCTGAAACAAAAAAATCTAAGCATATAAAGTTGCTTGTCCTCACTGATTAAACCGCTGAGCAATTACAAATGCGATCATAGGATACTGAAGCAGGCCGCAAGTAGGTATAGTAAAAAAATGATTGCTCAAAATTTTTTAAATAGTGTAAATACATAGTTAATGCCCTTATAAGGATTTTATTACCACATATGCTCCCATTCTTCCTGCGTATCGCATTTTATCTTGCACTTCTGTTAATTGCTTCAAATACCATTCCCTGGCTTCCTCTACAGCTGTTAAACCTTGCAACAACACATCTTTTTCTTGTTCAATTTGTTTCATTTTTTTCAGTAAATTATAGTCAACGCCGTTATGTAGCGTATGGCGGCGGGGCTCTCGTCGTCTTGATGTTTTTCGTAAATTGGAGTGAGTTCCAGAAGCTGAGCGACCATCACCAAGACCTCGATCTTCACCTTCTATTGTCCTTGATATATTCTCGAAATCTAATTTCGTCTCCGTTATATCATCACTTTCCATAGCTGTCTCTTCTGCTTTATATGTGTTTCTCGATTTTTCTTTCCTGTCTATTGCATTTTTCTCTAATCTTGGAGGTTTAGGAGGACCGTAAGTTCTGTGAGATTCGTGTTTATTAATGGAATTTACTTTTCCATTTTGCAGTAACTCAGGTAGAGAGTTGCCCTTGTCTTCTATCAATTGAGGCATACTTGTAGCTCTATGTGTAGAGGTTCCTGTGTTTCTTACGATATTCCAATTTCTTTCTCTATTGTGGTTGCTCTCTATGTCGATCAATGGAGCAGACGGAGGACGATGAATTTGAACGTTAATTTGCGAATTTATTCCAGATTTTTCGATATCTTCATTCATAGTGCTTACTTTGCCTGAAGCATTTTGAACTTGATTTCTCAATAAACATATTTTAAGCCCTGTGCAAAAACTTTCAAATGTTAATAAGCCATCATGGGAAGCTACTTTTTGAAGGCTTTCTATAACACCACGGGGAAGACCCTTGGTTCGATCATCCCGCCATCGATTTTCAATATCTGTTAACTTCACGTATCCTGTTTGCTTATCATCCATTATGTCAAATAAAGTTCTCATTGCTGAAACAAACTGCTTTGGTAAAGAATCCATGTTTGTATGATTTAAGTGAATCATAGTAAACACTAATAGGAATGTTCAATAAAGCACGATTATTGAATATTCACTGAATGCCGCTCATATATGTTAAAGCACATAAAAAGTAAATAAAATTCAAAATAAACCATATTCACGAAACACTTTTAACAGAAATCACAAAATTTTAGTTTCGTAGTAGTAGACATAAGTTAGTTGTCGTTAATTATTATAATAATAATAAAACTTGGATCGTTTGGTAAACGGCAGATACATGTATGGCGGGTGAGCGAACCGGCTAGTGGGAGTGATTTTGCGGACTATGCAGGCCACGAATGTAAGTAAGAAAACCGGTCAAACGACATTTCGGGCAGGTGGAGGCCATTGATAAACTAGCCGTTGCCCCCGCGCGCATTGATTGAATTATTTTTTTTCCGTTTTCTTATATCTAATATATTTCATACAAAAAAATAATATAAATGCTTATTACAGAATGAAACTTATATGTACTTTATCTATTATATTTTTAACCGACTTCATCAATAATAATTCGTATGTTTTTGTGGATGTTACGGACTATTTTCGCATACATTGGGAATTAATTCTGTGATTATATTATTTTATACATCAAAGGTTTCAAAAGCAAAATTCAAAGTACAATAATGGACCCCAAAATAAGGAATATGCATATTTTCTTATACAATAGCTTACCTCGTTATGTAATTGGAAAAAATATCCAGCTCCAAAAACGCAAAATAAATATGTAAACAAATTAAAAAAAAATACAGATATTTTAAACATCACCATTCTGGCGCGCTTGGCGTGACGTCATAGTCTATGACAACATTGCAATCAATGATTGAAAGACTAGATTGTTAGTATATTTTTATAACGATCGCAAACATCAAATATTGGCCTGACCAATGGCTTTGCGTTTCAACTTACCAAGTTATTCCCAATTGAATTTCCCACCTATTTTTGTACTTTGCTATTATTATTTTCTTTATTAAAAAGTATTGATATAAGTAGGTTTAATTCAGAAGCAATAAAGATTATTAAAAAAAATCACTTTTGTTTAAATCACACGCATATTCCCTATTAAGTTGCTGAGTTTATTAGTTAAAAAATTAGCAAGTGTAAGTTTATTTAATACTAGCGACTAACCCCTGCTCCGCTCGGGCTCGTCCCTATAGTTAGGTTTTAATGTTTAGAATAGATTTCTCAGAGATTACATATTTTCCCGCACTAAGAGAATCCTTTACACCCGGAATCCTAAATAGCTTTTATATCATCATCATACCATATTTTATCAAAATCTGTCCTGTGGTTTTCTTTTGATGCGTTCCCAGACAAACAAAAAATCCAAAAACTATAGATTCGGGATATATATCGATAATAATGACTATCAATAAGATTCATCCAAAACATATTTAATTCAGATTCGACTCAGAATTTTATTACATGTATATATAATAGATGATCGAAAGACTGTTTTGTCCAAATTTCAATGAGCTTGTTTGTGATTCAAAATTCATACAAAAAATAAAAATATAGAAAACTAGCGGCTCATCCTCGCTTCGCTCGGTTTCACCTCTAGAAAAGCACAAACAGATTATCCCACGGGAACCGTTCATTTTTCCGGAATGATGAATTTTCCGGATGAAAAGTACACTGTTGTTTGACCGGCAATATAAGGTATCAGCATGCCAAATTTTACTAAATTAGGAGGATAAGTTGTTGTGTACTAAGCAGTATTAGTTACTATAATTTTTTGGCTATCCCACGGAAACTCTTTAATGTTCTGAAATGAAAAATATCTTAGATGTTGACCGGGGATATAAGGTACTATCATGCAAAATTTCATTTAAATCGGTTCAATAGATTCGGAGATTAGCTCGTACAAACAGAAAAACAGACAAACAGCTCGCTCGAGTTCGCCCATGCATTATACATACGAATATGTTGTATTATCTCTTTAAATCATTTTAGACGATAAATTTACTTATTTTGATAAGAATTCATAATTGTTGATAATATGACCAATAAACATGACCTACCGATTTAAATTATTTTTTTAATATAAAAACTACTTTTTGTGACTTAAATATAAAAGTTAGACATATGCTGTCGCTGATTTTTTTGTAGGCATTATTAAGCTCTATAACTTTGCTCTAGAACATAATCATATATCTCCATAGAGTATATTGCTACATATATAAATATATCTCTCATCGTTAAGGCAGCGTTCGTAAGAAACTTTTTCGTTCGACCGTTTTTTCTCCGACTTACTTTGCAAATCCGACTACCACGAAAAAGTCTTTTCATTTTTCGGGTTAATATATAACAACGTGGCTTTCTATTGGTAAAAGAATTTTAAAAATCGGTTCAGTAGATCCAGAGATTACCCCCTACAATGTCACAAACTCACAAGATCACAAACTTTACCTCTTTATAATATTAGTATAAATGAACTTGTACTAAGTATAAGCATAAGTCTTATGTAAGTATAATATAAGTTATATTCGCCGAAAATGTAATACTACCGCAACGACTATACCTATGCTATATATACCTACTATACTATATCTAAGTTCTTTTTTATTATAAAAAAAACCATTTTGTTTATTAAATAACTAGCAGAACCCGCGGCTTCGCTCGCGCTAAAACTACAAAAAAATCTTTATAAAGGTAGTTTCATACAAAATTTTATCCTCTATTTTATTTCCTTATAGGATGAATTTCGAAAAATGCTAAAAAACGTTTTTATTTAATTTTAGATTTGTAGAGCATTAGTAACAAGTTTCAAGTAATTCTGATTATAAATATTTTTTGGGTTGTGATAAAACGTGTTTTCCCATGAGAATTAGATAATCTCCCGTGGTAAAAAGTAGCCTATGTCACTCTCCAGCACTCCAACTATCTCAACTTTAACACAAAAAATTACGTCAATCCGTAACTCCGTTTCGACGTGAAGAAGGACAAACAAACAAACACACATTCACATTTATAATATTAGTATGGATTATTAATTTTCCACCATTTGAAATTATTTACTCGGATAGCTTATTCGAATATAGTTATCGATTGAATTTATTTAAGACTCTTATGACTTATCAATTATTTAAAAAAAATAAGCTATGCATAAAGTGCCTAACGCCTCTATTATTATAATGATCTGTGTTATTCACTGACCTCTCTATTACCGCTGATTAGAGATCAGTGGTGTTATTGCTATGGGGAAGAATTTTGCCTTTTCCTCCAACCAAATGTCACTATCACTATTGCCTTCAGTATATTGTAAAGCTCAATGTTTTTTTTTTAATTTAATTAAAATGAAAAATTGTGCAGTGCCAGGATACAGAAAAAATGGATATCATTTGTTGCCAAAAGACAAAACCTGAAGAAATTGTGGGCTAAAGCAATAAGACGACCAAAATTAGCGAAATCATAATCTTTATATTTAGGCTATGTGGACATCATTTTAAAGAAAGTGATTTTAAAACTCTTAAATCATCTACAGGTGTTTTTTTTTTTGTACTTTTACATATTCATTTAAAATAATTCAGGTGGTTTAACTTCCATCGGTAAGATGCGAACACATCAGAAGCAAAAAAACGAGATATAAACATAAATTGCTTAAGCTCCAACTGAATGTAAATAGGCCATACGTGTGGCGCCCTCTTTTGGAGAACTCTTCCTCGTTGTAGTACTCGTTTTATTCGTTGTTTAAGTTGACAGAATAAAGAACATTATTCATTAACATTAAGTTGTATCTGTTAAGCTCTTGGTTTTTTTTTACCTTTAAATGAAAATCGATTCAGCATTGGAAATAGTGTGACATCCCTATCTTATGACTCGTGACAATTGACATAAATAGATAAGTGCGCTTACGCCTTTTCTCTTTCTGTTGTTAATTTTTTGTTGAGAGTCGAGACCAAAGGAATTTACATACATATAAGCTTGAAATGAGTAAATCAGAAGAGAAGTTACCTGAAATTACAGAGACCAATGGCAATTTAAACAAAGATGATGAAAGAAAAAATTGGGTAAAATTTGATGATGAGACTCCGCAAACAAGCGATTTAAAGGCAAAAACAAATTCAAACAAGAATGAGTCTATTGTAGAAGGAAACCAGATATCAAATACTGAAAGACCGGCTGTTTTAAAGACTGAAACTGTACACGTTAATCTAGATCGCATTGAAAACAATATTGAACCAATATCGCAGAGTGCTGTTATGAAAAATGTAGAATATATAAATATTCGACACGGATTTTGTAAGAATAATTTAGATATATTATAGTCACGTAATCAATATCTAATTATTCTTAACTCATGTAGTGTTTTATAATTATAGCTAATGGTGACGTTATTGTGACCTTGTTACCAACAAATACGAAATGGCCATGGATAACTGCAGCGAGATTTCGTCCTGAACTTGTACCTGAGGAATTGATGGCACAAGGTTTAACTGTAAGTTAAGCTAATATTAAACTTTTTAAAGCAACACTACTGTGTTTTAAACTTATAATAAGACTAAATATATATTTCATTGTTATATTGTATTTTTCAGTTAACTGTTGAGGAATATGTTCATGCAATGGAATTGCTTGTTAATGATGCTCGGTTTACACTATATAATATCTGTTATAAGCGAGTCTTACTTTGTTGGATAACTATTGCATTTCTTGTACTCCTTACTCTACTGTTTTCTGGCTTGACTGGACTCACGTTATTTTCACTAGGAGTGATGTGGTTAGTACTGAATGCAATGGCTATTTTTCTTTGCATGTGGATAAAGTTGAAGCTTTCAAAAGGATTGGAGCAATGTTTAGCAAGTGTTAATAAATTATTGAATAAACATAAACTGCTGCTAGCACTAGATGACCGGGGTAAAATATCATGCCACAAAGTGAATCTATGTTACATTTATTTTGATTCAGCACCTTGCATAGCACATATTCAACAGTTCATTGAAAGTGAAGAAGGTAAAACAATAATGCAAGGATGGGAACAGAGATTAGATGTATCTGCTAATGATATTGTTATTCAAGGAAGTCAATCAACAAGGCTATCCCGTAAGCAGGTATGAACATTCATTTATTAAATGTAGCTTTGTAGTTTTTGACATTCTACATAGCTATTGTTTTTAAGAATATTAAGTGTTTACTCTGCACACAATATGAGTAATTTTGATGCCATTCTTGTCACAGTTTTAGTTTGATACAAGTTCAAAGATCAAAATCTAATGAAATTAGTGATTTATCTAAAAATCTCTTAAATATTTAAAGTGTGTAAATCATTTTTTTATTTAAAAAGATACAAAGTGATTATAATTATTTATATATTAATTATTTCTACAAATCCAGTTATTTGCACAGTGTACACAGGCAAAAAGTATCAGTATAATAAATAGAACTCAGTTCCATGTTATAATAAAGTATGTATTATGAATAATTTACCTGCAAACTGAAAGTGTACAGCTTATCAGTTTGTGCTGTAATGGCAATGCCGTATCCCTAACATTGTATTGCTCATGTTAAATTTACAACAGTAGTGGTGTTGGATGTCATTTTAAATTACTTTATGGCAACTCATACATATTGCATTCTATCTATTTAATTTTTTAAAACCATCCCTATTTACTGGGAACTCTTCTCTTTCCCCAGAATAAAAAGAAGCCTATGCTATTCTCATCCAAATTTTTGATATATCAATAATGGTCTTGTATTGACCAAAAATTGCGTATTGTTATTTTACAGGCTCTACTCATTCCTGTTAGAATTATTTCAGCTATTTTAAAATATTTTGTGATTTTATTTTATATGTGCTATGCTTACTATCATGTAAATAGCCATTTGCACTCAACATGTGATAGCTACTTTGGTGTAGATTGAAGTTTCAGGCTTTACATGCATATATGTTTGAATGTTGCATAAAACCTCTATATATTCTATATATAAATGTCTATCACATAATCTAACAAAATATGGTAAAATTAGTAGGTACTTATTCAATTAATATAAGGTCATTCAAATAATTTTGTGGGAATCTTGGACACAGAGTTGTAGTCTTTCATTATAGATTTGACACTGGTTGCATCTACCTTACAACAAACAAACAAAACAAAAAGTTAATCACACTAATTATAAATTGATAACTTTGTGATTGTTGTTTGTTACTTTTGCACGCTTTATTTTACTCTAGCAGTTGAGTAAAATTCGGAATATAGAGTTTCATAACAAAATTTCATTAACATGCCGCGGGCACGTACTTTTAAATAGATTTGTAAATTCTCAATTATTATTTTAAATTGGTACTTCAGCCTTACAAACTATAAAGGAAAGCTATTTACATATTAGTAATTGCATAATTTAACACTATCTAAATGATGTTCCACTAAGTACATACAAACAGTATGTACCTACTTATATGAAACACTGCAGGTAGTTTTGGTCCCGCATTTAGATTTGATATTGAAGCCATTATCAAGAGAATTGAATGACTAGTTATAATAAGACTATAGTTTATCGATTTACTTGTTGCGAATACGAACTGTAAAATTAAGAATAAGTAGGTACTATTTCAACTAACAATCCCTACTATCGCTTTATTTATACGTAAATGCATGTCTATAGTATGCCTTCATTAATTCAAATTGTTATTTAAAAAAGGTATAAATTGTGTTTGTATGGTATAGACACAGTATACAAATCCATACAAAAGGTGATCGCCCTTTGATCGCATCAGAGTTAAAGCGCTGTAATGCTATCTCGTGACAAATTACAGTTAACTCATGAACCCCAAAACCGTTTTCCGATTCGTATAAAAGAACGTATGACAGTCGGGTGTGCCCCGCGCAATTGCCATATGCCCCGCATAATTGTATTAGGTAGATGCCTTCTTTATACGGATGTATGGATTAGTAGATTGTGGTGTAAGGTGTATGTATACTGTGTAGCATGTAATGCCGGATCTACACGCTTGCCAAGCAGCTACAAGCACACAAATCATCACAAATTCAAAAAATAGGTGAAGAGGGCGTTTGGCTTGGCTTGTATAATTTAGTTTGCAAGTACGTGTGGCCGATCACGTCGATTTTGTGTACAAATCAAAGGAAATTTACTACAAGTGCTTATGATACATCCACACGTTTGTGCGTTCATGGAGATTTAATGTTTTTGGCAAATGGCAAGCATGTGGAGCTGGCATAAGGGTAAGCGAGGCATGTAAATGTGCAGGATATGGCAGAGCAAGTGTACGTCCGGTATCTCCAGCGGTGGGGGAAGGACTTCTTGCGCCGCCGGCTCGACTGGACGCTAGACGAGGACGGCGGCAACCCCGCGGCGCCGCGGCACTTGGCCAACGCGCTCTGCCCCTGTCAGTATGTCGAGGAAATATTGCGCAGCAAAGAGCCTAAAGACACTCGTGCCTGTTGTCCACCGTGCAACAACTGGCTCAGGCGGCGCGGTCTCGACTGACCAAAGCGCTCCGTAACAGCAAGTCAGCATTTTAAATTAAATATTGCATTATCGTGTGCCTTTGTGACATTTTTTTTATTTATTTTATTAACATAAAAGTCTTGTTACTTATTACTCATTTTGTATTTTAATGTATAATTGGTGAGATTACATAAAACATAATCGCGTTAATTGTGCATCAACTGGTAGTCATTTTAAACCGTATGGCGACTCATTAATTTTTTTAAATTAGTATTTGAAAGAAAGATTAAAATTAAAAAAAAATGTTATTTTTAACAAAGAAATTATTGGCTTAAATCAAATCAAAATGTCATGTGCGTAACTTCTAATTACGCTATTGACGTTACGCGAATTCTCATCCGGCATATTCATCACTGACCTTCAGTTTACAAATTTATTACTATTTTAATTACTACTATATTGCTAATCCACTATAGAAGATCGAAATCAATTCAAGCAAACATGTACTCTTTGTGTACAACAGTATAAAGTTGACGTTTATACTGCTGTGTAAGTTTGACGACACGTTTGGCTCAGTTTGTAGCGACCCTACTTGCTGTGCCAGCGGTCGCGGGTTCGAGTCCCGCTGGGGGCATTCATTTATGTGATGAGCACGAATGTTTGTACTCTAGTCATGAGTGTTTATATTTATATATGTATGTATTTAAAGTTATATATGTGTGGTGTATCAACTATCTGGTATCCATAACACAAGCCTCGTAGCTTACCATGGAACTAGATGGTGCTGTATGTTAAAGAAAAAAGTACCACAACAATACGCAATTCCGACGTATCAGTCGTGATGTGTCGTGATGCGTTACGCAAAACGTGACAAATCATACAAAATAGAAGCACTCGTTTGCTCTTTCATTTACTTCGTACCACTCGCTTATAGGAAATTGCAATATAGCAGTATTTATTATAGTGGACCGAAAATCATCCTTCATTTTTTTGTTTTCCTATTGTTATTCATTAGCAGTATTGTTTTGTTTACAGGAAAGAGGTGCGCTTCTATACCTTCGGTACGCGGGTCGCTGGGGAGCGCACGCCCTCAAAAACAGATTGAATCTCAGCAGTTCAGTGCCGGGACGTCACAGCGACAAGTACGTGTGCCCCTGCCAGTTTGTAGAGGAGCACCTTAAAACGAAACCTCCTGCAGGAATAGCTAGGTTTTTCACTTTACCAACTCAAAGTATTCAAATATATTAAGATGTATCTCATCCTAATGAAACGAATCCGTCCAACAACTCAAAATTCATAATATTTACAGTATAATTTATTTTAATATGTTGTAAATATTTTTATATACATAATCCTAAATTTATACAAAGCTATTGAAAGTAATTTAACTTATATTTAGTATTTACTTATGTCTATACTTTATTGTTGAATTGTTACTTGTGCTATAGTTTGTTTGTTTTACTTACCTCGGGACCATTAAGAGTTAGTTAATTAGATTTCACGTAACATTGAAGATGTGAGGGCAGCACAGATTATTTTTAAGTCGAAAATAATTAAGAAAAGCGTAGCAAGTTTTTTTTTAAACAATGTAATGTCGTATAGAACATTAATGAAATACAGTTAAAAATATCGCAATATTCTGAAACCTTACAGTGTACCTTTTTTTTGTATATTATGTCATGGGGCCATACTAAAGCATCAGTGTCGACTGATGCCAAGGAACATTTGTAGTCATCCTTAAATGGTATTATAATTTTTTTATTAGTTATGTAAAACTTGTTAATGTATATTTATTTCATTAGGTAAGCTGACTATATTATTATTATTTTAAGACAATATGCAACTTGTACTTAATTTATGTTACATACAGGTGACACATATATTTATTTTACAATAAAATCATAAAAGCTCCTTTATAATGGAGAAGTTAATTAATATTCAGTAATTTTAACTAAACATTACATTTCCTTAATTAAATGGCGCTACTTATATTGTAGAAGTACATAATATAAAAATATATACTATATATTATGTATCTATTTTATTTTGCATGCAAAATATGTTAAATTGTCTTAACTGCCCACTGTAATAGATACAAAGTATTCTGAACTTTTTGATGTATTATCATCACAACATTTAATGGAATATTTTGATAATAATAATTTAGCTAATATTTTTTTTATCTAGTAATTAAAAATATGTAATAGATAGTACCTACTAACAAATAAAAAAAAACGAATGTTCTTAGCACAATCAAGAAGCTATGGATTTATCAGGGTATCTAAAAATAGATATCTGAATTATAACCTTTTTTAACCTTTTTTTCTGTCAAAATAACAATATTTATTTACGGGAATTATTTATAGTTTGTCTACACGATTTTCTAAGTCTACTTTTACTTTTTCAAATATTTTACTCTTTATAAATATCCATGTTTATTATTCTGTTATCAAATTGAAATTGTAATAATTCAGGTGCAACAGGAAAAAATATTAAAGCACACGTGATATCATAATTCAGAAAAGTCACTTGTATTACAATCTTTTATTTATATTCATTAGGTTACCATTAAAATTATTTCAAATTAGGTGCACAAATGTTACGTTAAATACAATAAGTTATAGTCGGTGTAATGATGCCGTTTGAGCAAATACGTTAAACATTGAATTTTTAAGGATTGAATATAAAAATGAGTATTTTAAAAACAATAGATTTAATGAAATAATATCTAGATAATGAATATAAAAACACATGTAACGAACAGCATTGTAACTTAATATTAGGCAAGCAGGCGATCATAATTTTTGAAATTGTCTATTTAAATATAGATTATATATACATGCTAAACACAAAGAGAGCTCACTTCCAGACAAATGAAATATTTTTCTTAAAAAAAGTAATACAAAAATTAATTTAGACTTACATTATATGTATTGTAAAGCGATTATATAAGTAGCTTTCAGATCGCCAGAACTCTCATTTTAGGTTTCTTTGATTGTCACGTTGTAAAATGTGTTGAGCATAAGAATTATGGTGGTAGTGATTATGATATTTTTTTAAAGAGCTAGCAGAAAAATGGTATTCAAATAAAAATCCATATGTTTGATAATTATGTATTTAATAAAACTCAGTGGGCACACTGCACATCATCGCATCGAAGTAATCAATTTTGATTTGTTATACTGTTGTTTAACATTATTTTATACTATTTATTGCTCGTTTCTATTCGATGGCATCTTAAGACAAAAAATTATGCTACAATACAATAATAACACCCACTAGTCGCTAAAATTCCATATGTACAAACAATACTTAAAGTAAATTTATTAGATAATGCTTTGTATATTTTTATAATTTATCATGATAATATAAAAAAATAGGCGTTTTAAAATATTTAAAAAAAATCAACAGAGAATCTGAGGCATATTTTAGATAAGAAACTATATGTTTAAGCCAAAGCTCAAATACAGTTTTTAAATCTGAATTGTTGCTAAAATATATTATTAAATTATTTTTTTAATACATATTAATACAATACTTATATAAAAACAAGTATAACAGATTTGTATACAATACACACATGGTAGTAATAATTAATTTTACTGTTTAAGAATGTACTCCTAAAAATACAATATCTACCTACTATAATAAGAAGCGTATTTTATGTGAACTTTAAAGAGGAGGTAGCTGAATGTTGTGATTGATATATGAACATTCCGTCCTTTACTTATAGTACTTATATTAATTATACTTTATACACATCTTGTATTGGTTAAATTATTAATAAAATATATAATCTTGAAGTTCTGCCATTCTTATTTCTTTTATTAAGTTGAGATGAATAGAAATTATGAAACAGTTAAATCTTGAAATTTATTTTTATTAATTCCGGTTATAATAATTATTCATGGAAGCTTTTTACTAGATTCATTGTAGCATGGTGCGGGTGATTTGTCAAACCATTGTTTTTTCATTTAATGAATGGTTCTATGATTTACAAATATGGCGTAATATTTCTTCGCTAACCTAAAAATGTCTAATGTAATAATAGATCATTGATAACTATAGCACAGATCATATATTATTATACTATACAGCCTACAGGTGCCTTATTCAATGAAATTAACAAAGAATTTGGATAGCGCTAATTCGGGCTATTTTTGTTTGTTTGAATAGATAATAGATGCTGACCCGCAAATAATTGAACTGTTTTATTTTATAAAATTGTACAAACTAACGCATTCTAAATATTGTAAAATTCATCCTGCATTCGATTAAAATTTCAGCGATTTTAACAATTTTTAACCGTGATTCATAAAAAGTAAAAGCGCCATCTGTGAATATACTTTACAAACCCGATTATAATACCTGAATAAAATACAATTTCTTGTTCTTTTCTGTTACAAAACTGTTTGCTATTTAAAAATAGAATTTCTTAAATTTGAACAGTCGAATTATTTACACAGAGTAGATAACTTAGGATAAATTGAAGTTTAAGATTTGACTTTGCTAGTTTTTCACAAACGCACTTGGCTAATCACTTATTTCTTCTTTATGTTATATGCAAATTACTGTTTTTATATTGTAAGGTCACCATATCTCACTCTTCTAAAAACTTGCTTTACTGGTAAAAACTAGCCAAGTCAAATCTTGAACTTACTATTTTATTTACGTATTTACTATTATAAGATATACTTACCTACTATCACGGTTAAAAATTGTTAAAATCGCTGAAATTTTAATCGAATGCTCGATGAAATTTTTTATTCCATACAGAATGAATTATTGTTATTAATATATAATGAATATTTACTATTCCTTAATTATAGTAATTTGCACATATCTACAAAATAAAACAGTTTAACTATTTGCAAATTAACGAAATCTATTATCTATTCAAACAAACAAAAACAGCCCGAAATAGCACTGTCCAATTTCTTTGTATTTAATGAGGCATCTATATGATCTATGTATATGGGAAGTACTTTTTGTACGTTATTTAAATGTTCGTTTTTAAATAATAACTCAAGAACAAAAACATATAAATTACATAGTCACGTTCTATGTAACCGACGCGGACGGCGGCCATATTTTGGTTATCTACCTTTTTTCTAACATACTTTTTCAGATCTCATAAGAGAATTATTTATTGTATTTTGAACTAGCGTTATACCCTAGCTTCGCTTGGGTTCGCTCCTAGAAAAACATATCAATTCCACGGGAACCGTGCATTTTTCTGGGATAAAAAGTAGCCTATGTTCTATTTCAGACTACAATCTATCTCTGTGCCAAATTTCATTCAGATCCATTCAGTAATTTTTCATGATTAAGTCACAAAAATCCAAACATCTAAACTTTCATATTTATAATATTAGTAAGATTGATATTGTTACTGATAAAATATGAGTTTAGTAATAACGATATTACTTCCTTTGACATTTTACTCTGAAAAACTTTATCGATTGATTGAATGTTATCACTTATCACTTCCCAGTTCATATGATACTAATAAATGTCACTTGCACAAGCTATAATGAAAATATGATAAGAATAAGTATTACAAGATAGAGATTAAATTAATACCTGATCACTTCACTCGGATTTATTCGGGGCGGTAGCGTCCTTTGGCACAGACATGTCAAATTCAAATATAATAGTAATAATATGAAAATGAAAGAAGTTCTCTTTGTAATTGCAAATTTATTGTGATAGAAAAATAAAATTAGTTATACAAAAAATATTGAATATCACAGACTATTGTTACTTAATTTAGTTGGTTTTTCTTTACCCTACTTTGTCCATCAATAAGCAACATCATAAATTATTAATGTTGATAATTTTTTGCGCGTTTAGATCATTTGTAAACCATTTAAAAAAAATTGTCGGCCAAAAGTGAAGTACAATGTTAGATTTGGTAAAAACTCTCAAATTGTTAAGAATTGTAATTTAAAAATAAAATACTAGAAGATTTTGGACTACTAAATAGGAAGGAATAATTTTTGTATTTTAATAGTAATCAATAATATAATGGTTGGTTAAATAAACGTAGGAACTTAAAGTTCTGAACGTAAATTTTCCACCAGTAAATTTTAATTATTAAGATAAACTTATACAATAAAATACATTTGGATTTATTTGCCTAAGACATTTTAAGTACAGATTAAAAATAAATAGCGGTTGCCATTTCTAAAATAATTAGGCATTACAAATAATACAAATAGTATAATATAAAAAAGGATGCTGACGAAATCTTAGGCTGAGCAAATAATAAAACTAATAACAAAATTCTTCTACTATCTTTCTAAATCATCGTACGTGCATTAGGAATTACGGGATTTTTTCGGGAACGTTTTGGCTAAATCGCAGGGGGGGAAGAGTCCTTTGAAGGAGTTCCGTTGGCCTTTCACTTGCGTTTCCTTTTCCACTGTCATGATGAGGTCTCTGCTACGTTTGAGGTGTTTGTCTGTCTCGTCGAGGTCTATCGAGGAGGCTAGGGACTCTAGGGAGGTGACTGTGGAGGGGCCTTCGTGGCGGAGGGGGAGGTGGGGAGGGCGGGTGGAGTCGCCGGAGTGCGAGGGGGTGGCGCTGTCGTCGCCGAGCGCCTCGAGAGCGGCCAGCTTCATGATCTCCCGCTGCGACTCGCGCGCCTCCATCAGGAATATGCTCTCCTGTGTATTATCATAATTTCAACCTCTACCATATCGTAGACCGCTCTAATGTTATAAACAATGCATATTTTGTTTATTTTGCCGAGGAGAAAAAGTCTTATTTAGAATTTTATAATTGGTTATTGGAATATGGCCAATAGTTCGATGATAGTGTATTGGAAATGTATTTATATTCCACAAGTTATAGTTATATTATGTTTTACAGTAAAATCAAATGAAAGCTTTGCTTAGGCTAATAAATAAAATAATGTGTAATGTAAAACAGTGAGTAGTGTCATCAACTAAGCAATGTAAATGTAAAATTAAGTGGGTAAATAATAAATTACAAACCTTAACTTCTTTGGTGATGTATTGGTCGAGTTTATCATAAATCACAGCGTGCAGACCCATTTCTTTAAGCTTCTTTATAGTGTTTTTGTCGTTGTTGTCATCGCCCCAACAAAATATAACGAGACCAACATCCGTCGCCAATTTTACCTGAAATTTGAAATTATTGTTCTATTCAATGTAATCACAGGCCACAGCGTTCGTAATTGATAGAATGAATGGATAATTTGAAGATTACTTCAAACCAAATTAGGTGATAGGCGATTAAGTTTAAGAAAGATGACTATTAATAAATTGAAAACAGGTCAGAAAAATGTTTAAATAAACAATTATTCCAATACTCTTGAATATTTTTATAGTTAACTTCGAATATTAATCTACTATCTAACATGAAACTGTTAGCTGCCTCACAATTTTTTTGGATTCTACGTACCGACCTTTATATGAAAGCTGAAGGTAATAAAAGTGGGGGTAAAAATATTGGCAACTTTAAGGTTCCGTACGAAACGGTCTGGTAATAAAACGTTTAGAACCTACTATGTATCTACTCAACTTATAGTTAGCAGTAAGTATTTTCACGTTTTTTTTAATATGATTACTAATGCCTAATAGTGAAAGAAAACATCACGAGAAAACCTAAATGTTTTAGAGTACCTAAATAGTTTTCGGAAGACATGTTAAGTCCGCCAACCCGCACTATAATCTACTTATAGTTTAGCGTGGTAAACTATGGTCTGATCCCCCTCGCAATATTTAAATACGATTGAAGACCATATGCTCTGCAAAAATACCTGAATCCAATGCGATGGTGGTATTACGATAAAAATTATTTCTATCAAATACGAAAACAAAAATAAAAGAAAAAATATATTTTATTACGGTGTACATCAACATCAACCTTGCCGTGATTATAATATAAAAAATTAAGTGGCATCCGGTTGTGTTATAATATAGATAACGATTAAATACGCTTTATAACATAATCGATCATACAAGGCAACCTATTGTAACATAATATGATATATACATATGTAAAAATATATAGTATATATTATATACGTTTTAATCTACACATATAATAAAATTCTAACTGAGTCGAATCTGTACATTAAATATTTTTTGGAAAATCTTATTGAAATAGTCATTATCATCGATATAGAGGCCGAATCTATAGTTTTTAGAAATGGTGACTGCATCACGAAAAAACCACTAGATAGATTTTAATGAAATTTGGTATGATGAGAGCTGGTTATCCGGGTCAACGTATAGGATACTTTTTACTGCGGGAAATCTCATTTCTGAGAAATCTATACTAAACGTTAAAACGTAACTAGGGACGAACCCGAGCGAAGCAAGGGTGAGTCGATAGTGTTTTCTATTATTACATTTTAGGAACGTGTCATATACGTATTACGTATATTATGATCTGATAAAACGTAGATAAGTTACATAATATTTAGTACTAATGTCGATAAGTTGTTTATGTAAGTTAGGTATATGCACATATTCATATACATATGCCATGTATATTATTTTCCTTACCCACTTTATCGCGTTATCATTTTACGAAGAACTTGTTAGTTGTTCCCTTAATTATTGTTTTTATTAACTTTGAGTCAGTGCGTCATAATTGGAGTCTCGTGTAGAAATACTGCGCAATTGACTTTTGAACAGATTTAAATTCTGTTAAGCGTTTATGCATTTTGCTACTATCTTGACTAAGTCGTAAATCTTCTTTAAAACAATGGAAAAATATTAAGATCTGATTTATTTCTTACGAGGTGGAAAGACGTAATTCGGGGTTCAACTTTAAGTTTACTACCAAGTACGACGTACTATAGTACTTATAAGAGTTTGGTGGTGTTTTAACACAAAAAAAGTTCTTTTAGGGTTCGTTTTGTTTTTCCATGGGGCCTTAACTAACAAAGTAAAATGTTAGAGTTGATATGTGTTTAGATATGTTCGAGTGGTTTCATCTTTACCTACTACAATCGGCTAGTTCGATAAAATAGAGACCAAGTATTTTACAGTATTTTTAGTTGGTTCTATTACCGGTTCAGGTAAATTTAAAATAAATGCAGTTATTATTATTTAAAATAAAGGAATGTTTGTTTTGAGTAAAACTTGATAATTTCAATATTTAAGGTACCCTTTTCTTCCATGTCCCATCCACTGAACTTTGGTTTCATCTTGTATAATATTTTTAAAATTTTATAAAATTCAATAATATCATTCTATTTCTGGCGGTTATAATAAGAACTACGTTGTGATGACACGATCTTTCTTAATAACTGTATATATAGTCTCTTCATACTCTGAATCTGAATCTGTTGTAATGCTTGTTGACTTTTGGCTATTCCACCCCAGACTTTGAGAATTAGCTTCAAATAAAATGTCTTATCACAACCGCTCCTATTTCGATAGTGTATTGTATGTGATCTGTGGTTTCTCTTTTTCATAAAAATAAACAAGTCTGAAATTTGATTCTAACTTTAAATAGAACCTCCTCTATTTTTGAAGTCGATTAAAACACGTGTCTATATATTTATTCTATAAGGATAGGTACAACAAGTAGTAAGTATCATTTATTTGCAAGAACCTATTAAGAATCATGATAAGGTACTTATTACTTATTAGCAAGCATCGTTGAATTGACGTATAAAGATTAAACTACAACAGAATGTCATATATTAGGAACTGATCGTATACAATAAACGTAATCACTCAGAGCAAAGTTCAATGTACGCATTAATCACTTAATAAACATTACTGTACCGGTACGTTATCTGTGTACATAATATATACATATGCAGGTTCGATGCCCCGCATCTGTATTTGTTTCTTCGCTGTGTCATTTACTTTCTTTTTTAAATTCAGAGCGAAAATATATAAGTGTATTTTTTTGTTTCTTATTCCTACTGCCTAATTCTTGGCTCAATCGATGAAAATTTGGTACGCACGTAAACCATACAGAATCTTTATTCTTCTTCATTTTCTATATTCTCCTTTACATCACAAACAGTTTCCATGAAAATAAGTGATTAAACGTTACTACATGAACATTTGTGTGACCTAGAGTAAAAATTGCCTGATTGAAGCGATGTTGCTAGTTTATTAATTATTCTTATATAAAAATATAATATAAATAATAAAAAATATAATGAAAACAATAATATGTATACAAATCTTAGTCCAGAGAATTAGGTCTAGAAATAACAGAGCTATAGGTAACTACCTGTATGACTAAGATGACGTAGACTAACACTGAGGTAGATTTTTGATAAGTTCATCCCTTAAAATAGGGAATGAAAATTTTATGTGGTAGATCATCATTTTTGAAGTCAGAAAAGAACGGCTTTTTAATCTATACTAATATTATAAAGAGATAAAGTTTGTGAATTGTGAGTTTTTGACATTATAGGGGGTAATCTCTGGATGTACTGAACCGATTTAGATGAAATTTAGTACATCGGAAGGGAAGGACATAGGACTTTTTATTCCAGAAATCATCCCTTAAGGGGGTGAAAATGGGGATGAAAGTTGGTATGGGGAATCAAGCTAGAGACGAACTCGAGCGAAGTGAGGGTGGTGAGTCGCTAGTAGAAACTATAAAATATTATTTTAGTAACATTTAAAATGTATAATTGAGGTCAAGATAGTGTATGCCATTGACGACGTATAGCTTGTTGGCACGAAACATGGATGAATGAATATAGAATAAAGGTGAAGTCTATTTTCAAGGTCACGATTTAGACTTGACCTAACAATAAATCTGTATAACTCTTATAATCAATCACAAATTCAATAAAATTATCGAAACGCTTAGTTTAGTTTTACTTATAAACCATAAAAGGTACACAAGCTTTAAAATCACTTAAAAGTACATAATCATATCGCCCTTAGGAATGGTTTTTTTTTAATTTCTCGGGACCATTCTTAATGATTAAAATGAGAATTATCAAAATCGATTTACAATTTCCGAATATATATAATATACATCGCGTAACATACACACAAACAAATCTGATTATGAGTTGATTACTCCCTTCTTTAGTTGGTCAAAGAAAATACTTTCTAGCTATTTTCTCACGGCATTGTCCTGAGAGATTTTTTTGTATTCGATTTTAAACGTACAATCAGCCGGGTGTTCACACGGTATATTATCATTCGTGTAAAAACGAATATCCGCAGTTCTCACACGTTGTCACAGTGAGAAGACGTGAGTGATGGATCCAAATACGTTTAATTTCATTCGATTTGCTTGACAAGTACAGCGAGTATTCGCTATCTATAGTGGCACATACATTGTACATAGAACCGTTCACACGTCTTTTGTACTGTCAATAAACGTACACCGTTTATACGTTTAACCGAATACTCACCGGATTTGTCAGAAATTTTAACTTCCGAAAGAATAGAACAGACTACAGGCTAGTATATAAAAAAAATTACCTGGCTTGGATCTCTAAGTAAGTCCTCCGTGTGTGCCACAATGCCCAGGATGTCGGAGCTAATTGCGTTTTGGGCCGCCGCTGGTATGGTCGAGCATCGTGGATCACGATATGGTTGATATTTTTCAGTAATACCCTGCAAAAATAATTCTTAGATAATAAAATAAAAATATAATATTTTCATTAGTGTTAATAAAAAAGTATTAGGGAATATACATAAGTTTTCTTTTTATTTATGCACAAAATTATATTAACATCTTATTATTGAGTTTTATAAAAAGCATTGAGCAAACGACACGTTTGGTTCAGTTAGTAGAGACCCTACTTGTTGTGCCAGCGGTCGCGGGTTCGTATTCCGCTGGAGGCATTCATTTATGTGATGAGCATAAATGTTTGTACTCCATTCATGGGTGTTTATATTTATAATATGTATGTATTTAAAAAGTTATATATGTGTAGTGTATCAACTATCTGGTATCCATAACACAAGCCTTGGAGTTTACTATGGAACTAGATGGTGTTCTGTGTGTTAATACTTAATGTCCTAACATATTTATTTATTACTTATTGTAATTATAATCTACTACTAGCAAGTAAAAAGAATTTACCACAGTCAAAAACATAACAGGGTATTTGTTCTGTTTGTTCCGAACCATGGTGCAAATGTCTGGATTGAAGCACGACAGGACTACGCGACGCTCTCCTGCATGTTTCAGAACTACTTCCAACACCTGTGTAAAATAATAATTAATCAAACATAATGAATGGTCAATTGTAAATTACGCTATTTTTATAACTGATGTAGTAACTTCATGTACACAAAAAAAATTGGTCAAGTATGATTCTGACTCGCATAAAGAAGGTCCCTACCTTTTGTTTATTTATTCACTTATTATCAAAAACATATATTTTTGTTATTTTGATACGTAGGATTTTAACCTGCCTTCAATATTTTCTTACTACATATTTATTACTTTTACATCCCTATCCACACTGATAGAATCTCCAGGTCACAGATGCTTATAAATATTATTTTTCTTCACTGATATATATATATATATATATATATATATATATATATATATATATATATTGTGTATATACATACATATATGTATGTATATGTTGTGCCACCATTAATTTGCTTTTGTTATTTTTTTCATCTGTGTATTAGAAATACAATCAGACAGATGAACAAAAGACGAGGAACATTATAAAGTTTAATGGTGTTCTGTTTATTAAAAAATCTGAAAGATATAACAATTTTTAATTCTTTTTAATCCCTTCCTTAATGTATGCAATATTTAAGAGTGAACCAATATGTTATCAAAATAGAATTTCTAGTTTCCACTAAGTATAGTGAAATTTGAATATTGCATACAAAATAACAAGGACTTTTACTGGCCTGAAAAATATTATAATTATGTAATACGCATATTAACAATCTATTCCATATTATTTTACCTTATCAACATAAGTATTCATATCAAAGGGATTGTTAAGTTCAAATGTTCCATCATTGAGTTCCATTGTCCATTTCAGTTCAACATTGAAGCCTACATGTTCATCTAATTTTTTAAAAGCTTCTTCAAGAGTAGGAAAAGGCTGATGCTCTTCCAAGTCTTCATCAAAAAACAAAATTTCATGATTACGTCCCTCCACTAAATGATAAACCTGAATAGATGAAATGAGTTTAAAAAGTTTTCTTTTAAAAGCATAATAGTTTCTTAACTTTAAACATAATATTTTATCGTTTATTATATATCATCATTAAAAATACAAAAATAACAAACTGCAAAAAATGATAATAATTACAATGATGACTTAAGATGTAGTGGAATGTACTTAAACATTACAGTAAAATTACAAAATCATGTACTATTCAATATATATATTTATTACTTTTACATTATTGCTACAGATACAGTGGTTGTAACTTAACTGCTTCATTGTAATCATATATTAATTAAAAGAAAAGACCTTGGTATAAAAAATTTCAAAAAAATTTTTTTTATTTATTTTTTACTATATTTAATGAGTAACAAATCAGACAAAAATATAGCATTTACAGGATAGCTAGGTCACATGATACCTTAAGTTTCTGCAGATGCTCCAAGGTCAAGTCTTTCACTGGCAATTCTAGCATCTCAGTGAAGTCAACTTCCTTTTTTCTTTTCATTGAAATACACACATGAAAATCATGATAAATTACTGGTATCATATCTTTACTGAGTTGCACATCAAATTCCAGCATATCTGCCCCACTGGCAGCTGCTTTTTTAAGGGAAGCTATTGTGTTTTCACGAATGGCATTTCCCCTGAAATATTCAAACATTTTGGCAACACAACAAAGCAGGCCTCCCTGCTATCCTTTTTATTGTTCTTTAAGTAATATAAGATAATGATCATATATAAACAAATATAATAGCGTAAATTGTACTTACTCTTTTGTTTTAAAACTGGCACCTAATCCTCTATGTCCTACTTCTAACCCAGTCCAAGAAGGATCCCAGTGTTTTGCATAGGATACTTCAAAGTTACACAAACTTTCTTCCATTGGATAAATTATAAGATATTCAAAATTAATAGTGCCAAGAGGGCGATGTTTGACATTACAAGTAACTGGTAATTCCAATGAGCCTTCTGAAGGTTTAAACATGTTTGGTAGAACATAAGTATACCCAATATGACAAGGAGGATCATCAACAGAAGCTCGAGTACTATATGAATAAAAATCTATAAGATATGCAAGATTTTTAGGATTTGGGGCATAAACATTGACTAGTAATACATCATTTTGTTTATATTCTCGACCAAATTGTTCTTGAGGTTGTAAATTACAGATAGTTGGATCATTATCAAGTGTTGCTACTTCTACAAACACACCTGCTGGAACTTCAACATCCATAGTATCTGTACTCAAAGATGAATCTTCTATATGAGGTTCTGTTCCAAAAGACAATTTTACAGGAGTAACTTTTATATTCATAAGTCTACCAACTAGGCGGCTTTTCAATTTTAAGGGATTGTTAATGAATTTAAATTGAACGAGTGTTTGACAGGTAAGCCAGCCTCTTGAAATATTTTTTTTCCCACTATATTCACCAAATACGTCAGTTATAGGATGTAGCATATTTTCCTTGATAATTCTTGGATTAATATTAGTTTCCCAGTTACGTACAATCATATCATTGTCTTCATTAATAAGACATATGGCATAACGATAGGATATGTCACAAATGTTTGGAATAACAATAGTTTTAGTCCATGTATCTGTTCCATCTACACGTTCCAGAAGAATACTTTTTTTTAAATCCCATTCACCTAATTCTGTAATATTTCCAGTTATAATCACTTTCTCTTTAGGTCCAATATTTGGTACAAAGACGGTAAATATCCATTCTTGCGATAAAATTTCGGGTTCTTCGGGTTGCTCTTTCTCAGACATCTTTCTTTGAATTTTAATATTATCCTTCTTAAGGTCTCTTAGAAAGAACCAACGTTGCATAATCCAATCCGAAAAATAAATATTAAATTTATTTACCTATTACAAATTATCCACAAGGCACAAACACCAAAAAACCTAATTTTTTTATACATAAAACTGAAAGTTATAAAAACCGACTAATAATTTAAAAAACATTTTTTAATATTTAAAATTCGGAAAAGCGACTACTCATATTATTAAACTACAAAATTACTGGTCATTAATATTAAGTAATTCTCATATTTATTTTGACACTTGACAGCAAAGTTACTAGCGAACATCTGGTTAGTGGTTATTGGTTATTGGTTGACTTGATGTAGTGATGCGCGACTATAAATGATTCTAGTCAAATTATTCGACTTTATAAATCATTCGACTCATTCGAATGAATTACGAATTTAGTAACTAACTTGATACCGGATCGGATTTGTCACTAAGTATTAGTTGTACTTGTAATAAGTTTCCTTCGCAGCGCACGACCGAATCACGCCTCATAGGTAAAAGGAAGTAAGTAAACTTTTACTAACTACTAAGTAACAGTAACAAGTATAATATTCAGAAGAGTTCAGAAGTTTAACTTGTATAATATTCAGAAAAGTTCAGAAGTTTAACTTTGAAATTTGACTGAGGCGCTGACAGAACGGCGACCGCTCTAACTGATTATTCGGCGATGAAGTGGCGGCAAATGATCCATGCATTCGTATTTCATTTTAAACTGGCAACTGAGTCGCAGTCGCGACCAATTTACATACTTGAAACGCAGTTAATACGAGTAATTACTAATTAGTAATAGTTATTTGATTACAATTAACACTAGTATATTACTAATATTCAAATCGAATGTGTAAATTAGTAGTTGTAGATGATTCAAATCGTCAGATCATTCGCAGTCCTGCATCGCTAACTTGTATCACAGTTCACAGATAGGTATGAAATTTGTTTTTAGCAGGAGTGCACGATATATATCGATAAATGTACGCGATATACCGCTTCAACCCGATATTATCGTATCATCTAGTATTTCATACGATATACCAAATATCGCGAGAAATTATAAGCACATTATATTGAAAAAATATCGATTTTTTTTCATGAACATCCCTAGTTTTTAGTGCCACAAACAAACTTATCTAACCCGGATCCCTGTGGCCAACACTGGAACTACGTATCACCATTTTAAAATGTCATATTGTTGTCAAATGGAGGGTGGAGGTACCTCTACCCTGGTACCCTCCATAGACCATAGTTGTCTAGTGTTGTCATAGAAGCCAGCCTCTTAAGTTACCCAGATGATTGTCTAATCACAAAGAATTGAATTGAATCTACATTATCTCAATGGGAAAGATTTCTCGAAAGGAGTGCGCCACATGTATGGCCTATTTACATTCAGTCAGGTTAAGCAATTTATTGTGATTTACAAAGGGTTTAGTAAACTTGTAATAACTTGAATGCGTTAAAAGAGTGGAATTGAGTAGAATGTTTTATTGTAAAAATGTGAGGTCTTATATACAAAAAATGGATAAAATTTACAAAATAGTTGACCAAAAAGAATGCGTACATTAAAATATTTACAAACTTGAAATTAGAATAACAAATAAAAATCATATTATTATCTAAAATACGATGGTTCGTAAAATATGAATGAGATAAAAATAGCGCGAATCTTCCGCTCTCATGGATTCTGGGAAATGGCGCGATCGCGTGGTCTTGCGCGGGATTTCGCGTTACGCTGAAGCTATAAATATATGATTATGGGCCGTCGCCCGTCAATGCACGTGGGAGCGCCATTTGCTTAACAGCGCGGACGGATCTGATTCTGCAGTCTTGCTACGCGTAGTAAGTAGTACTTGACCCGCAAAACAGTTCTTTGCATAACTACTTCTTGTTTTATACAGACAATAAAATAGCTCTTTTCAGAGCTGACTTTTCAGTGTTTCACGACACGTTGAGTGTAGCTACAGTGATATCTCTTTTAAACCTGGTTTTTTGCTTCTATTGTGTTCGCAATTCGCATCTTACCTGTGCAATGTATTGTACCTGTACCTGAAAGTTAGTCCAGCTAAAGGAAGAATTGAGAAGGAGAGGTGCATCCTGCGGTTGTTCTGACTGACTGATGGATCAACACACAGCCTAAACCACTGGTCGTAGAAACGTAATATTTGGAGGACGTGTTCCTTATATGATTTTATGAGATTTATCCCCAAAGTGGGTAAAATAGGGAATTAATGTGAAGTATACAGAAAGTGGTGCTTAGCTTCAAGATAAAAATAAGAAAATTATTTATTTGATTTTTCGAAATTCGTCCTCTGTAATATGTAAATCTGTAATATGCAAAAAAGTACAAAAAATAAAAAAATATTCATCTGTAGATGATTTAAAAGTTTTAAAATCACTCTCTTTAAAATGATGTCTACATAGCCATAAATATAAAAATTGTAATTTCGCCAATTTTGGTTGTCTTATATTGCTTTAGCTCACAATTTCTTTACTTTTCGTCTTTTAGGAACAAATGATATCCATTTTCTTTGCATCCTGGCACAGCATAATTTGTAATTTTAATTAAATTTAAATAAAATTTCAAAAACCTATTAACGCTATGGAGCTTTACAATATACTGAAGGCCATAGCGATCGTGACATCTGGCGGGAGAAAAAGGAAAAATTATTCCCATTATAATATTAAAATATAATTTATTAAAAATGTGTTTTGATTATTATTCCTTATTATATCCTGTTGTTTAATATAGTTCATACATCAGAATAACAAATAGGTTATTTTTTGTCCCGGAAAAAAGTCCGGTTCCCGTGGGATAGATATTTTTGTTTATTTGTAACGTATTATGTACACAACATAGACCCCAAAACAATAGTTATTAAAAAAATTGTCTTTTTGTATACGCCGAAAAGTAATGAACCGATTTCAACGAAATTTGGTGAAGTGATAGCTTATTACTCGAGTCAACGTTTAGGATAACTTTTACTTCAAGATCTCATAAGGTACAATCACTATAACTATTTTCATTATTATATATTACTGACTACTGTTTTATTATACGTTATTTATTCTATCTATAAATATAATAAGACTGTAGAGGTCGATTTCTGTACATAGAAAAAAAAAAGCTAAAAACCGAGTCAGTTATTTGCTTACATCCCATAAGAAAAAAAATAGAACAAATCCAGATTTTTTTAATTTTTTTTGTTTCTCTGTCTCTTTGTACGGGTTAATCTCCGAAACTGTTGGACCGATTTAAATGAAATTTTGCATGGTGGTTACTTTATATCCCCGGTCTACAGCTTAGATACTTCTCATCTCGGAAAATTAAAGGGTTCCCGTGGGATAGTTAAAAAACTATAGTATCTTATACAGCTTAAGTACACAACAACTTATGCACCTAATTTAGTAAAATTTAACATTCTGATACCTTATATTGCCGGTCGAACAACAGGTTACTTTCATCCCGGAAAAATGAACGGTTCCCGTGGGAACTAATAGACAGATTAGTGTTTTTCTAGAGGCGAACCCGAGCGAAGCGAGGGTGAGCCGCTAGTAAGCGATTAAGTAATAAGCGATAAGGTTTAAACTTTTAGAGGATAATATATTTAGTGTTAAATTTTTTGTTAGCCTAAGAAACGTAAATACGTATGAATAAAACATCAACTCTTAAATCGGGTGGTTGCATGAGACTTAGGACTCACTGAATAGAACCAGAATACCCATTAAAACTAATCTATTAAAATTAAAACTAACCTTCAACGCACTTTTCGTAGTATCATAACCCGACGAACAAACAATAATTAACCTGTCTTATAATTTATAACTCTCATCAACAGTAAATATTATTATATATACTACTAGCTTTGCCCGCGGCTCCTCCCGCGTTCAGATGACCAAAAACCATATTTTTAGGTTTTACATATTAGTATACTCTTATATTGCAGTTTTTGTATTTTTTCACAGAAATGAGACATTTTCCAGCAGTAAAAAGTATCCTATATGTCGACCTGGATAACAAGCTATCACCATACTAAATTTCATCAAAATCCCTCCAGTGGTTTTTCCGTGATGCGGTAACAGACAGACAGACTTCGGCTTAGTTATAATTTTATTATATGTATAGTTTTGTTTTTATTTAATTGCGATATTTGCCAAAGAAATTTAGTAGTTGTGAAGTATTACTTCAACCGCACGTAAAGGTTACACACGCACCCATATTTTATATTTGTAAATTTAAAATTATTATTTAATATTCCTGAGACTATAAGATTTTCGCGAATATTTGACTTTTTAAATAAAACTATCTTTATATCTCAACTGCGACCATGATTGCATATGAAACGTGTGGGAACGAAAAATCAAAATAAATCCGCAAAAATATCAGAAAAGATAGTTGTACATATTTAAAATACATATGAGACTGTTTAATTCTCCAGATGATATCTAAATATAATAGGTAAATAACAGCTACAAAGTTTAAAGATTGATACTATAATTTATAATATTAAAATGGTGGATGTGGACTAATGAAAATTAAAAAATATAATAAAAAATGTACCTTTTTATTTGCACTATTCTTGTATAAAGTCTTTACAACGTTAAATTTACAATATTTACAAAACTTATCTATTTACATTAGGCAGTCTTTTTGAGCCATAACTAATTTTCTTATACTTAAGATTGTTAAATACCTACAAGATATTCTTTTATATTTTTGTATGTACATTTTCTAGCCAATATAAATTATTATTTTAAAAAGGGCAATTAACTCCGGGATGTAAAAATGAACAATTGTCGCCCTGACGGCAGGAGCCTTTTCTTTGAAAGTATATACACACTGCTTTACGACCACCACCACGTCCTCCTCGTCCTCTTTGGGGCCCTTCCCAGTTACCGGCGACTTTACCCCTCCAATGTCCTCCAGCGCCACGACCGCGAACAGCACCACGAAAGTTACCAGGACCGGGAAATCCATCCGGGCCCGGCGGTCCTGGCATGTTATAATCAACGGGGAACATATTTGGTTGCATGTTAAATGCATCTGGAGGGACAGGAGGAAACATTTGATTAGGATTACCAAACATTTCTGGTCCCATCATCATATTATCAGGTGGGCCCATCATTCCAGGTGGCATATTTGTTGGAGGCATAGCACCAGGGACCATACCCGGAGGTGTCATAGGACCAGGGATGCCATTGGGCATTATAGGTGGAACTGCACCATTTTGCCATTCTCCAGAGATTATTGGTGGTCCTTGGAACCCTGGAACGCCTGGGAATTGTGGAGCTGGGAAGTTACTAGGAAATTGTGACATATTTGATGGGAACATTGTTGGTACATTCATGTTGTTACTAGTTGCTGGTGGAGCGTTGCCTTTAGGCTCTGGCCAAGGCATAGTTCTGAAATCACTAATGTTATCCTGGTTTCCAGTTACGTCTTCCAAAGGTATTATTTGTGGTTCAGCATAGGTATGTGTCTCAACGTCCGGTTCATGCGGAGAGTCAGGTATCATAGATTTATGGAAATAAAGTGGTTGTAAAGTACCTTTCTGGCGAATTGCTTGAGTATCTTTTTCTGTGCTAGATTTACCATATTCAATTTTTATTTGTCCCCCGACATCAACTAAAATTAAAGGTCGCCAGCTAGTCCGTTCTTCCATAATATCGTCGTTACTGAGATTCCTACCTTTCTGGAATGCTTCTCTTTCGTGAATTCTCTCAAGATGTTTCATGTCTGTAAAAGTTTTAGTAACATTTACTCTTTCAGTCTCATCTAGTTCAAAATATTGAATTTCTTCTAACTCAGAATCTGGTTTCCATCTTATGGTTTTCTTAGGTCCTTTCCTTTTGTGGTAACAAAGTACTCCTTTTAGACCATTAATCGTTAATGTGTGAGGTTCAGAAATTTCCATAGTTTCTTCAGTTTCTTTCTCAGTACTATTAACTTTTTCACTGTTTTCGTGAATTTCAGATTGCTTTTCATTGACTTTATCTTTATTGTCCTCTTCATCTAAGGTGTCTTGATAAAATCTAGGTGGCACAGATTTACTTTCACTGTTGGGGCTGGATACGTTAGTAGGAGTTTGTGGAGGAGATCCATCGCTTTGAGCGTCCTTAGAACCACTGGTGCGTCGTTTTCTCTTCTTAGGTTCTTTTTTATTTGTGGCAGATGCATTAAGCGCGTCCATAAACATATCACTTTCTTGCAGCACCATTGCTGTAACCAAAAAAAAGGCAAATTAATTATTTTGAACTAAACTAGCTATTACAAATAAAGGGTAAATATAAAATGTATAACGACGGGCCGTATTTTACTTTCCATAAATTATTTTAAGATTAAATGTTTTTATAGTCATTTAATAATTGAATAAATAAATATTGTATAACGAGAATGTAATATGTAATCATGCGGTATTGTGAAGAAGCAAAATCAAAACTATAATAAATATAGTAAATATGTCCGATGAATCCTAAACCGCAAAATGTGTCCCCTGTGACGAACTATAACAAACAACCATAATAAAGCTTATGTAATTTTCTATTCAAAACAGGATTCGAAGTTCGAACCTTGGCCTTACGCGCAGGAGTACACTACCATTATGTCAGGTAAAAATTTCAAGAGTACCTAAGTTTATATTTATGAAAAAAAAAACAGTTTACACAATCAAAACTGCAATAAACGAAATATTATTTACCCAATGTTTTATAATTAAATATGTAACAGTTTCTGTATGCTAACTTAAATGTTGTATGTTTGAATCTGATTGAAATTAAGCTTCAACATATTCAAAGCTACGCCAGTTGCATAGTATAAGTTATATAATGATCTTGACCTAGGAAATGACTTACAGCAAATGTATGGGCGTTATGAGAGAACATGATAACTTTTTTACTAGTATTAGATATTAATAAATGTAGGTCGAGCCCTTATAATAGACTTATAGGTAAACGCGGTGGGTACTTCAAAGGATTAAAATGGGTTGGGACTGTCCGTTTATTTGTATTTATCTAGCTTTAAATACATTTTAGAGTATGTGGAAAATATAATCGAAGTTCTGACCAATTTTCCAAAAACCTTTTGAAAAATATATGCAACTCAAGTCGTGATCTAATTTTAAAATTTGGCAATGTGAAAGTAATATAATATGAAGATGTATCGAAACTACCCAGGTATTTTACGTCACTTAAAACTCTCGTAAACTAATTCATATTAACTTGTGCCTTCATTCCTTACGTTATGATTTTTGAATTATAGATGCAAATGTGTATGCGATGATTTGCTTTCATTACTTTTAAGTCTAGTGCTTAGCTAAAGTTCTACGAAGCGTAATTTAGCTTAGATAGAATACGCGGATAGTTGATAACTCTTGTTATCAAGAGACGCTACCAAAACCTTTTAAAAATGATGTATCATTATAATATTTATTATATCATCGCTTAAGACTATATTTTTCAGTGTAGGATAGTGCATCTATGCATCTGTAAAGTAAAACAAAGCTTTGGCTATAAATTCAATACTAATAACCATTCGCCAAATTTAGATGTTAAAGAGAATCATTAAAATTGTTATTACATAAAAAATATTAAAATTCGCAATTCTCTTAAATTATTAAACATTTTCTAGAATCATCTCGCGAAATATTAAAATTACAAAAACAGACTAATCTTCTGAGTTTTGGTCGCTTAATGTTTCTATTTATAAATAATTATTGACGAAGCCAAAATTAATCTTTTATAGGGTTCCGTACCCGAAGGGTGCCAACGGAACCCTATTACTAAGCTTCCGCTGTCCGTCCGTCCGTCTGTCCGGGGGCTGTATCTCATGAACCGATGTAATGAATAAGTAGAGTTGAAATTTTCAGAGTACGTATTTCTATTGCCGCTACAACAACAAATAATAAAAATAAATGAAAATACAACAAATATTTTTTTAACGTTCGTAATCGATGATCGCAGTCAATATACTACATACATAGAGTAAGTTATATTAATAAAAAGTACATGCACGATGATACAGAACCTTTCGTGTGCGGATTCGACTCGCACTTGTTTTTCTTGACCTCTTAAATAAAAATTAAAAATAATCTAATCTTATTGAAAGGAAATATCATATCTAAAACGCAGGAGTCATTTAGTAGCGCGGGACACTAAATTAAATTGGTGACTGTGCGTTTCAAAAATCACGGAACGAAAGCTAATCGCCAAATGTGGTGTATAGGTAACGGTAAAGTGATTGCAATGGGTCGTTGATTAACCCGACTTTTGCAACGCATCTTATATTTTGAATATAACATTATTATAGCCTAGTTGTGTTATATATGTACACATAATGTTTTAAATATAGGGGTTCCGTAGATTAATTTCGCGAATTATTTAAACTCATTGTTAATCCTGTCAATTCATGCATATTTGTTTAACTGATTGTTAACACCGCAGCCTAGTAGTATTAGTTTAATATATTAAAACATTTAAGTAGAATACCTAATTTTTATACCATAATTTATTGGTCCAACAAAGTATTTAACGCAAATATCAGTCGATAAATTAGGACATTAGTCCTCGTAAAACTACCCTTTCAAAAATCGTAAAGGGCCACTTAATTTTAAGAAGTACATGGTTTTCTCTTGATATTCTGTAAAATTAACTTGATCTTTACATTACCCATACTATATTTGACGATAAAACTTATATAATAATCGAGTGCTAGTGCAAATAAAATTAATTAAAAATTCTTTACGTTATATCTTGGATGTTTAACATAATACGCTTAAGTATACAGCGTCATTTTTAATTTACTGAAAACCTTTTGGGAATATACTTTTTACATCATAACATTTGTAACAAGAAAAAATTATATTCCTTAAATTTTTATTTTCATACAAAAATAAAAAAAAAATGTTATTGCGCCTTCTAAATGGAAAAGTTCTAGCATCTGGCCAAGTTTAAATGAGTAAGCGCGGCTTCCTACACTCCTCCACCCCTCCCCCTCCACCGGTCACGCGCTTTCTTTTGCTAATGCTAGACTATTACCGTTTAGGTGCAATAAAAATATTTTTATCTTTGTAAAATTTAAGTAATATTATTTTTTCTTACAGATGTTGTTGTCATGATGTAAATAGTAAATTCCCAAAAGGTTTTCAGTAAATTAAAAATGACCCTGTTTATTAAATTATTACCCGTAAGAGGCATCCCTATTTAAAAACCAATAGGATCTCATCAAAAGCGACAATAGCCACATAGAAACCAGTATTTATTGGTCTATGTGGCTTTTGAAGAGATCCTACTGGAATTTTTCAAAAGGGATAGTACCTAGTGTACCTCTCCTATGTTTATTGTAGCAATAAGTAGTCAATGACTCACGATTTGTTGACAATTTGCGTTTTTCACGAATAGCAAATTTAAATTACGAACATTTGTAGGCAAAAGGTTAATGTAATGAACTGTTGTTAACCTCTCGCAAAAACCGAAACTTATCATTGCTTACCTATTCCTATTCTTCAGGTACCATGTCATATTTCATAACGTAGAATATGTATAATGTAATCAATTATTGTTGTAAAAATAGACATTTAATACCTACATGTACTATCGTTTTTATTAAACTTTCCGCTCAATATTATTGTAGGTACGTTGTTAAATGAATTTAAAACTACGTATCGTTTTATTAAATTTAGGATATCACACATTCTAATAGTGACTGTATAAATGTTAAAATTTATTATTATGTTATCAACTAGTCAATTTTGTGAATTTCCAGTAATTTTTTATTAGTCAAAATTTCATTGGAACATATATATTTTATTTTAATATATGTAAAACAAGTCAATATGTTATACTTGAAGTTGTATAATGGTCTAGAAAGCTACGTAACAGATTTTGATGAAATATTGACAAAAACTTTATTATTATTATATAAATTCCTATTTTATGTTGTAGGTATAAATAATAAACAATTAGAAAAAATCAATAGCTCTGCGATTACTAATTATTTTTAATAAATCATGATAAAGACTGATGAGGATATTTAACCACTTTCAAGTCTGTATTTAAAAATGTACATTATAACACCATTTTGTGTATTCATTTTATGCAACCCTATAAAATACTATCCCTATCATATAGTTCTCTAATTCGAAAGTTCCTTCAAATTACAGGCACTTTCAATAGTAATTTTTGACAGATCTAAATAATCAGTCAGAGAACTTATTGTTAGTATCAATAATATGTACATTGTATATTTTTATTTTCGAGTATTATTACTTCAATATTCCGCAAATTGGTTTGGCATATTTCGTGCAGATCTTTCACGATTCCCAATGGGCAGCGTCGAGTCCACAGCGCTCCACTGGACTGCTGGCACTTCCACCTCAATATGAAGTCTTTAAACAGATCAAGGTCAATATTCAACGAAAGATTTGTATTAAATTTAACCTTTATTAGAAATAAATACTTTACAAGTAATTTCTGGATAAATATGTGACCCGTCAAGTTATACATTTTACACTTACCACACTTGAAATTGTAATGAATTATTTTTATTTGTTTATAATGGTCGCATACAATGATGTGCATGCTGTTGTTTCCTGTAAAAATAAAAAAAGTTAATATGAATGTCAAAAAAGAATATATTAAACAATACTCACGTTTAGGTTTGGGTGGAATTAATTTTATTGCCCCTGGTTTGTCAATTTCCAGTGTTGTTTTGGGTTTCTTTTCTGGAGGTGGCTCATTATGAACAGGCGATGGTCTCTTTGGAATCGAAACTGTTGGTGGAATAGGTGGTGGTGGTTTTTTGTTCAATATGGAAGCTCTTGATGGTGGAGGTTTTACCTCTTCCTCTAAACCATGTTTTCTAAATTTGGAATGGAATGTTTTTACAGTTTTTGGTTTAGGCTCATCTGGTTTTCTTACTTCTATCGATATGGAAGGCTTTTCTTTTTTTACATCACTTAATTTAGGAATTTTTCCTAGTTTCTGTATTGATGGAGTCAATGCTTTTTCTTCAGACTTTTCTGATAATAATTTACTATCTTTATCTTTTTCTCTACTCTTATCTTTATCTGAACTATGTTTTTGACTGCTCTTTCCATCTCTAGACTTACTACTGCTACTACTAGAACTTGGTTTCCTACTACTACTAGAACTACTGCTACTACTTTTAGATTTAGAACTATGCGAAGAGTGTCGTTCCTTATCTTTATATTTATTTTTACTACTATGCTTACTAGAACTATCTTTATGACTACTGCTTCTAGATTTATCACTAGATTTGCTTGAATGCTTAGAGCTTGATGATTTCTCTCTACTACTACTGTTGCTCTTGTCAAGTGATTTATCTCTACTTTTACTTTTCTGTTTTTCTTTATTTTTTTCTTTTTCTGAATCATCTTCTGACGTTTTATTACTTTCATCTTCAATCTGTGACAACACTTGTTTGCCATTTTTTAATGTAATTTTCAATACGGGCAAAGTATCACTTTCGTTACCAGGAGGTACTTCTTTTTCTTCAATATTATCATTATCATTTTCTAAGTTGTCTATGTTATTTTCTATTTTTAGATCTTTGCTCTTATTTTCAATCTCTGAGGAATATTCTATATTATTTGAAGGTTTATCCACTTCATGATCAGGAGTAACAAGATTTTTTATACTCTCAATTTTGATTTCAGATTGAAAATCAAGTATTATTTCTGGTATATCTCCTACTAATATTGGTGTTACTTGTTCTCCTTTAACTGCTTTTAGCCATTGTTCAACAAGTTTGGAAGCTAAAGCTCTTATAGCTAAAAGAGAAACACGATTTGTTTTATAATAGTTATAAATAAATAGCCCAAGCCAATAACAATATTTAATTTGATTAAAAATATTAAGTAACAAAATATAATATAAATTAGTAATAATAATGAATAGAATTAATTCTCGTAAAATTGTCAAAAAAATAAAAAAATAATATTTATAGGTCAAATTATATTGACTTACCAAAATGGTTTCCATCCTTTGACAGTTCTTTTACTAATTTTGGACAATTATTTGTCTTTAACCTTTCTACATCAACAGGACATAATAACAATAACTCTAACAATTCTCTTACAAGTGGCCAATTCTTAGCTACTATACTTTCCGTCAGCCACATGTGTACTAGTCTCCAACCACCTGATCCCATGAATAGTCCAAGTAAATCAGTTACAGTACACTTTAATATTTGTATGTATATACACTTAGATACAAGCTTCTTTGAAAATTTTGTCATTAAGCTGAAAACAAAGGAATCAATTTGTATAAAACCGAAATATTTACAAATATATATATATATATATATATATATATATATATATATATATATTAAATAGACAATAAAATAAGAAAAAATATAACTTACTTAGCTAGCCTATGAACTTCATCACTGCTTTTGATGCCCCCAGTTGGTGATAAAAGTACACTCAGGCATTTTAAAAGTTGTATTGGATCTATTCGGGGCTGTAACAAAACAGGGCCATTAAACAAAGCAAATAGTAATTATTTTAAATTTAAATAGAAAGACTGATTTATACAGGTACAAATCCAGTGTATTTGAAGTATCTCAGAAATCACAAACAGCTCAAATCTATTGTTCTTATGGATTGTGAATCTATGTAGGTAGGTAAGTCTATTTCAATATGCTGCATCGGAATTAAGAAGTCTGCGGAACTCGAGTCTTGACCTCGTGTAAGCAATGGTAGTGAAAACTAAATGACGTAATGTTGACTTCTAATAAATGAATGAATAATTAACATTATTTACTAACTTTACTGGACAAGAGTTTTAGTTAACAAGCGAGAAATATAAGTCCAATATGTAAAAATATATATTATTATTTATAATCCATAGATTTTGATAAAAAATGTACAATGCGCACGTACAGGCATAAAGTCCAAAGTCCATCTATAATTACACGTGACATGATGTGGCAGTGGCCAATTTCTAAATATACTTAAGGTTCATTAAATCTGCAAGTTTGTGTTTTAAGCATTAGAATTTTTACTGTGAACCTTTTTTTATAAATATCATGCACGTTTCATGTCATATTTTCTTATATGGCTAACAAAACAATGTTCTGTTGGTCCGTACAATTGTAATGTTTTTAGGCATGTGCTTAGTATAATTTAAAATAAATCCTAATATTATGTTTAAAAACTTACCATGCTTTACGTATTGCGCGTTAATTTCAACAGGACGTGAATGACGTGTCGCACTCTAGGTGCCACGCCTTTCTCCAAGCAATACAAAATGGCGGATCATTTTAGAAATGATCAATAAAATTGTAGTTCTTGCACAGGGCTTAGCACGTTATAAATTAGTTTATCGATTTTCAGTCCTTACACTAATTAATTATTTAAGACTAAATTATCACTAACGTGAATGCTCCCAATAAAATTTGTTATGTAATGCTATGCAAATTATGTACTAAATATACCTATTCCCTATTCTTTAATATTATTTTAATATATATTTTATATAATATACGAATGTAACACAGCAGTATCCTGAATCGAGACCAGCGATGGAAGACCTTTATCAAATCCGGTCGAGTGTAGTCGCTATTCCAAAAACACGGCTTGCCGCAAGCGAGTGAAAAGTTGAATTGATTATTGAAGTCGAATTATTATGGAAATTCAAAGAGCCGAATGGAATGAGTGAATGGAAAAATGAACAAAGAATGATACTAGCGGATGTAATTTCGACTGGTAATAGACAAATACTAATTTGTCTATTACCAACTTAACAATATCATTAAATAGTCAAGAGTCATTAGTCATATACTTCAAATATTATCCGTTATTATCCGATTTGTAAGATATAGGCTACACATATTAACTAATGGACTCTAAACGTAAAAAATGCGTACAGAAAAAACCAGGTAAAATATTCTCAATACTTTATGTACAGTAAATAAATAAAAATTTTTGAACACAATGTTAAACCACAGATTGTTTAATTGCAGATTTTTTATAAAGGAGTAAAATTACTTAAATTTGATTTACAAGAGTCGTCGTCGTCGTTTCCCTTTATTTTATTTTTTTTATACTAAAATATACCTATTTAGTAGCTACTTTTTATCTTTTGATAATTTTAAACAAACTTCAGAAACAAATTGAGACATTATACCACCATCTATTAACATTTTTATGAACTATTTTTTCTTTTTTCTGGAGTCTATGATAAAAATATAGAATGTTGCTTCAGATAAAATGTATACGATAGACGAACGTTCTACATAGCGTTACGCAAAGCTCAAACAAAGTCTCTCACATTGCTATTCCTGAAATATGGAAGGAAACCATTGATTAAAAAGTACTTTTTTTGATCGATGAAAGAGGATCATGTATCATAAAGAAAGAGTATGCGTTTTTGAAAGATCGTGATCGAATCATTTGTTTCGAATGATGGAGTTTTTTTTAGAAAGTTCATTGGTCGGCTAACTCTCGGAGGTTATCCATTTAGAGTGCTTAATAGTTTATTTTGTTTGCTAGCCAAAGCTCATCGTATTGTTTGCTAGGATTCCTGCCTTACCACACGACACAATTAGATAACCAAAATATATATTTGTCAGCGCTGGCAAATCAAGTATACAATCTGCTTTAAAAAAGCTTGTTATTCCGTTTTTTGGAATTATGTATAATAACTTTTTAAAGAATTTTTCGACTCCAGTTTAAATCACTAGCTTCTAGGCGACACTAGAATTCTTGGCCAGTTCTGAGTTTTGCCCTTAGATTGATTGCATTCGCCCTGAGGCCCTATATAAATAGAGACCTATACTGCACGGGCGCAAAGCCCAGCTGTATAAGTCTTCATTTAGCGAAAGGGAGGCTCAATTTAAATTATCAATTTTCGTAACCATGTAGCGACTCAGATTTCAGAGGGTGGTAAAATATCTAAGGAATTGCGTTATATACACCTCAGACTTTCTTACGACTTCAACTCAACAAATTTCAGGAATTAAAGCATGCACAATGATTCAAATAAACTTAAGGTTGTTTACGTTCAAGTTTTAATCACCATCTTTGTCCTTTGCGTTCATCTTCTAAGGATAATTTAATATTTAATTCACAAGCTTATTATTTTATAGTCCAATGTTGGTATCATAGATTAATAAAAAAGGTTGATATATCAACGGTGTTACATAATGGGGAAGATTTCTCGAAAGGAGGGCGCCACACGTAGGGATAACCTATTTACATTCAGTCTGAAGTTAAGCAATTTATTGTGATATCTCTTATAAATCTGGTTTTTGCTTTTATTGTGTTCACATCTTACCTGTGCAATATATTGTATCTGGAAGTTAGACCAGATGAAGGAAGGATTGAAGAGGAGTAGTTATAATTAATAAGTAAAAAATTACAAAAAAATAAAAAAAATATTCACCTGTAAACGATTTAACAGTTTCAAAAACAATTTCTATAACATAATGTCCATATAGATTAAATATATAAAGATTATGATTTCGCCAATTTTGGTCGTCTTATATCTTTAAACTACAATTCTTTCAGTTTTTGTCTTTTGGGAGCAAATGATATCCATTTTCTTTGCATTCTAGCATTACAATTCGTTATTTTAATTAACTTTTGAATTAAATGAAAAAAAAATCTATCCACGCTATATAACTTTACAATATTCGAAGGCTATAGTGATCGTGTCATCTGGCCGGAGAAAAAGACAAAAGTCTTCCCATTAGCGACTTTTGATTTTAATATTAGAGACACTATTCAGAATTTTTGGAGTTGGCAGCACTGAGCACATTGACAGCAAATCGTTTTGACTTTTGTACTTTTTAGTCTATGGTACACTTTTCCATGTTAAAAAAAATAGTTATTTCACATTTCATTATTAATAATTCTTTTTTTCATTTCATCTAGTTGCAAAAATTATGTGGGGTGACTCTTTATTAATAGTATTTATTTCAATATGTACTGCATTCTTAGGAGAAGGTGTGATACGATGATAACGTTGGAATTTCACTATACTTTGTACAATATACTAAATCAATAACTAACCGCTTTATTATTTGCAGGGTTGACATGGATATTAGTATATAGAACTGAGAAATATCAAAAATTAAAAGTTGAAGTAGAACGACAAAGTAAAAAATGTATGACAGTTTGATACTTATAACAAATTAGATGCATGTTTATTTAATAATTGTTATTTCTGTGTAAAGATTTTCTAATATCATAGTGTCTCAAAATCTATATGCTTATGTCTAATGTATATATAATATCTTTTGCAGTGGAAAAACGCAAAGAAGCACATGGAGATTCTTTGGATAAACAACACAAAAAGAAAATTGAACGTGAAGAAGAGAGACTTAAAAATAACAATAGAGATCTCTCTTTAGTAAAGATGAAGTCCATGTTTGCAATTGGTTTTGCATTTACTGCACTTCTGAGCATGTTTAACAGCATGTTAGTATAATTAGTTTTTATTAATTTATAGTTTTTTATAATACATCTTCACACAATTTTGTAGAATAGACTGAGAGAACACATTCTCTGGTTCAAACCAATATATGGGTTTGTGTATTAAGAGATAATAGTTTCAATGTAGAGGGGTAATCATCTTATATCTGTTTTTACACATTTTGTCACAATATTATACAACCATTCATGTCCTTGATGCATGAAGTTCATAAATTGATGTTATTTGAGGATCGGAAGGTGCCAATTTAAATGTTTTAATGGCATTAACATAAATTACATGACTTTTGAAAAAGATATATCTTTTTAGTCATATGCCATTCATGACAGAGTGAGAGAAGCTATTGCATGTTGAATATGTCCTTGGCTACAGAGACCAGAGAGTAAATTATTTGTATGGCCTTTGCACTTATGCCAAAGTTATTGCATTTTCTCAGATAATTGCAATTTTCAATGTTAATTTCACAATTAGGTAAATACTTGGGTGTTCCTTCTAGTATATAACCCTATGAATTTGATTGCCTTGGTGGTGTAGTAGCATGGACAGCTGCACGGAGGTCCTGGGTATGAGTCCTGGGTCCGGCCAAGTTAAACTTAAGAGTCTTTCTGCTATGAAAGTCCTAGAACAGCCCGAAATTGGAAAGTTGGCTGTGTTTCCTGCTTCTGACCTTATTGGTTGTATTGAATTTGACTTGAATTATCATCCCATCAGAATTTGAGAGTGAAAGTAATCTGATTCTTGAGAGGAAGAGAAGTGTACTGGTGGTTAGTTTCAGTGAGATTAGCCACCGTGGCCAAAATCAATTGTAGGTAGTGCTAGCCACTGAGAGTTCCATAAGGTTAATCTTTGTAATATAGTTGACTAATATTAGTTCTTACAATTTAATAATAATTGTTTTTCAGATTTGATGGAAGAGTTGTTGCAAAATTACCTTTTCACCCTATTTCCTGGATTCAAGGATTGAGTCACAGAAATTTGCCTGGAGATGATTATTCAGATTGTTCATTTATTTTTCTATACATTTTGTGTACTATGAGCATAAGGTAAGATTATTTTATTAAATGTTCAGAAGCTATTATGGGAGCAAGTTTTTATTGGTTAGTTGGAAGACACTTGAATAAACAATATTGTTAAAAGAGAAGGGGTAAGAGGTTTACTAAACCATAATGAAAACTGTCTTGAATGGAATCAAGTTATGGGAGACAATTAATTTTGCAAACATAAGAGTATAACATGGGAAAGATTTAAATAAGGCACCACAAATAGAGTACAATATATTATACTTCATGAAAAATATCAATATTGACTAAAATTGCATTCTGTAAACTAAGTTTATCAATTTAAGACTAGTTTAGTAACCTTGGTAGCGACACGGTAATGTTATGCATACAGTATTGCAACTTGGCCCTCCTCTTGAAATAATTACCTACAGCCCTGCGGTACGTAACCACACGACAGGGCTGCCTGCCTACAGTATTTTAATTTCATCTACCTACTTGTGTTTCTTTCTAATTTTGTGATTTCAAATATTATATTTTTAATTTAAAAATATTATTAGTAGATTTAATTAAAAAATCTCAATTTTATAAGGGTCACATACCACCCTACCACCCATTTAAAATTTTGCACCTCGACTGAGACATACGAAAAGTTTTATTGTTAAATTTAATAGTGTAAAGAATCCGCATTCGGATAAAAAGTTAATTTCAAAATACTTTAATTTTTATTTTTAATTTAATTAATTAGTTTTTATTTATAAACATATGATGTCTCGATACTATTTTCAACCGACTTCAAAAAGGAGGAGGTTCTCAATTCGACTGTATTTTTTTTTTTTGTTTGTTACCTCAGAACTTCGTCATTTATTAACCGATTTGGACAATTTTTGTTTTGTTTGAAAGGGTATACTTCCAGATTGGTCCCATTTAAATTTCAAAAAAAAATACCACCCCTAAGGGTTGAAAAATAGCTAATGATGGATTTAACCCACTTCTAATTGTCATATTGACTTGAAACTTTGCAAGTGTTTCTATTTCCGTTGATAGTACAGTTTATCGGTATAGTTGACCTGATTTGATGGTAAGGCCAGAAGGTGGATAGGTGGAACTCTTCAACGGCTAATAGTAGATACTTTGAGTTTGAGCTTATTTTGTTTGATTCGACAAGCCTAACACGTTAGAATTCTTACTTTGCTACTACTGTCTACACTAAAAAGGGAAAAATAAAAACTTTTTAACAAAAAAATAAAAACCGACTTCAAACAAAAGCACTAATAAAAACTTTTTAACAAAAAAATAAAAACCGACTTCAAACAAAAGCACTAAAAAGTAACAAATAACTGATTGGTAGTTTTCATTTACTATACATACCTAATCAAATATTTTCGAAGTCGGTGTGCTTTGCTTTGTATGGGCTGGCACCGATTTCGAAAATATTTGATTAGGTATGTATTTAATAGGTAGGCTTTAATTACTTAGCCAAAGCACACCGACTTCGAAAATATTTGATTAGGTATGTATAGTAAATGAAAACTACCAATCAGTTATTTGTTACTTTTTAGTGCTTTTGTTTGAAGTCGGTTTTTATTTTTTTGTTAAAAAGTTTTTATTTTTCCCTTTTTAGTGTAGACAGTAGTAGCAAAGTAAGGATTCTAAAGTGTTAGGCTTGTCAAATCAAACAAAATAAGCCCAAACTCAAAGTATCTACTATTAGCCGTTGAAGAGTTCCACCTATCCACCTTCTGACCTTGCCATCATATCAGGTCAACAACACCGAACCACTGTACTATCAACGGAAATAGAAATACTTGCAAAGTTTCAAGTCAATATGACAATTAGAAGTAGGTTAAATTCATCATTAGTTGTTTTTCCACCCTTAGGGGTGGTATTTTTTTTTGAAATTTAAATGGGACCAATCTGGAAGTACACCCTTTCAAACAAAACAAAAATTGTCCAAATCGGTTAATAAATGACGGAGTTCTGAGGTAACAAACATAAAAAAAAAAAAAAAAAAAAATACAGTCGAATTGAGAACCTCCTCCTTTTTGAAGTCGGTTGAAAAGTAAAAAATAACTGATTCGTAGTTTTCATTTACTATACATACCTAATCAAATATTTTCGAAGTCGGTGTGCTTTGGCTAAATAATTAAAGCCTACCTATTAAATACATACGTAATCAAATATTTTCGAAATCGGTGCCAGCCCATACAAAGCAAAGCACACCGACTTCGAAAATATTTGATTAGGTATGTATAGTAAATGAAAACTACCAATCAGTTATTTTTTACTTTTTAGTGCTTTTGTTTGAAGTCGGTTTTTATTTTTTTGTTAAAAAGTTTTGTTTGATATAATAGCGAATTGACAGGAGGAATAAAATGTTTATTTTTGTATCCAATTATAAAAGTCACATAACATAACCACCTTATAAAATTTTCGTATCAAATTATACGATATGGCAGCCCTGGACGGTTGTCTACAGAGTGTATACCGAACGCGAGGCGCGTAGGTATAACTCGATTTCCGACCGTTTGTATGAAGATGGAATACTGTATGTAACATTACCATGGTAGCGACAACTTTACATGATAAATATATTGCATAATTATAACTTAAATCAGTCAAGGATACATAACATACATTTGTTTATGTATTTTTTATTCTTTTCAGGCAAAACATACAAAAATTGTTAGGATTTGCTCCATCTCGTGCTGCTTCTAAACAAGGTGGTGCATTATTTGCTGCACCCCCAGCGCAATTTAAATAAAGGAATATTTGTAATTAATGTCATTGTTATTTTCATTTCTTGTCTTGAGTTATTTGCTATTAATAATAAAAAATTGTTATTTTAAAATGTCTATTTATAAATCAAATATTGCCTATTAATATACATTAGATTCTATTAAAGGTTCATCAATTAATAATCTATCAAATCCAAATCTTGTTAAATCAATAGTTGTGTACTGGCAGTCAATAATTAATTCTGCTACAGCTTTACCTATGGCTGGTGTATGATGAACACCTGTAGAACAAAAAATTTGTAATAATATAAATTAAAATTAATAAACAAATTTTATTGAAAAACAATTTTTTCAATAGAAAATAAATCTTAGTGTTCTTACCTTGTCGGCCAAATCCTGTAGCAAAAAACAAATTAGTATGATATGGATGAGGTCCTAATATGCCAGTATCATCATAGGTATTACAGTCAGTATATTCAGTTGCTATTACTTTTACCTGAGATAAAATACACAAAAATGTGTGAGTGATTTAAAATATTATTATAAATTATGTAAGGTCTTGTCACAATTTCATACCTTTGTATTTTGACTGTCTGGAAACCTATTATATAAGCTGCTATTAAAAATTTCTTTATTTAATATATCAAGATTTTTATCAAGAGATGGAATCTGTCCACTTATTAAGTTACTTTGTAAACCATTTCTTCTTAACCATAAACCACTTGTATCCATTATAAATGGAAAATCAAGTCCAAATGACATTTTATTTTCTATAGAATAAACATTATACTCTCTGGAAATAAAATAAAAATTTAGGATATAGAATTATTTTAAATTTTAGAAAATACACTTCTTTACACATGTATGCAATATACCTTTTTTCAATTGGTAAAGGAACTGTTAATAAACCACCACCAGTCCCTATCTTGGCTAATTTAGCTAGATTAGTAGATTCAGAGCCAGCTGCAATAACACAGGCAGCAAACTTTAATGCAATTTCTTCATTGTCCTCAGTTTTGTACAGTAACCTATTGATTTTTTCAAATGTCCCTGGAGTTACTCCTTCCATTAATACATCACGTTGAGCATCCATTTTAAATCCAACTACTTCTGCATTCAAATACATTGTTCCTTGTTCTTGTGTCTTTTTAATTAATGCTCTAAGTAATGCTTGTGCATCAAAAACACCTTCAGTTTCTGTACTAATGCAACCTAAATAATATACATCATATTTAAAATGAATATTGTTTATAGTTTAATAATCATATTATAATTATAGTGCTTACCTAATTTAATACCAGATGTGTTAACCCATGGATATCTACTCTGAATTTCTTCTACTGTTAATAACGTATTTCTTATGCCATGTTCTTTTTGCAAAATAACATTGTGTTCTAGTTTATCGGCATATTTTTCACTAGCTAGCAATAAGGTACCATGTGGACAGAATTTTACATCAACATTGTCTTTAAAATGATCATTTATATTTCGTAAAAAATCTGCACTGTATTGTGATAGGAAAATATTTTCAGGCAATGAAAAATGTTGAGTAATCACTCCATGTGAAAATGTATTATGAGAATTTACTAGCTAAAAAGATTACATACATAAAATTTTATTAAAATAAATAAATTAATAAAATGTATATCTAGATTATTGATTATACAAATTATGAGATAATTTCATAATTTAAGCCAAGTTTATGTTCTATTCTATTTCAATTTTGCTAATTATTACCATACATTAAAATAATAAGTAATAACTTCAACAACTGCCTCGGTGGTGTAGAGGCTAGCATGTACGGCTGCACACCCGGAGGTCCTGGGTTCGAGTCCCGGGTCAGGCCAAGTTAAGTTATTGAGTCTTTCTGTATAGTAAGTCTCAGTAACAGCCCGAAGTTGGGAAGTTCGCGGTGTTTCAACCCCGTGCCTCGGAGAGCACGTAAAGACGTCGGTCCTGCGCCTTAACTCTTACCGGTCGTGTCGAGTGGTCGTCCCACCGGAGTATGAGAGTGATAGGAATAGAGAGTGCACTTGTGTCTGCGCGTACACTTGAGCACTATAATATCTCCTGCGCAGTTGGCTAATCTCAATGAGATTGGCCGCCGTAGCCGAAATCGGCTAGGAGAACATCATCATCATCAATAACTTCAATTTATCTTTACAAAAAGATCAAGACTTAAATTTTTGCTACTATATATAGAACTTACTGCAGGGTCTTTTTCCAAAACGACAACTGAAAGTCCATCTCCTGCTCTAATTTTCAGCCAATAAGCTACAGACAAACCTATAAAACCACCACCAACTATAACAACATCTGTGTGTTCAGGGTAGGTAAAAGATCTTTCCTTAAAGCCTGACTTAACCTCTTCGCTTATAAGACCCCATGTTCTTGTAAATGGATTAGGATATTTAGCATAAGAACGACGTTTAGAAATATTTTGTGATAGACTGACAATTATTCTTTTCATGCGATTCATCGTAATCATGTTGGACATCGCACTGTCTAGTGTCTACTTGTGTAGTCTCCTTCACAGACGGAACATCTCCATATTTATGTAATTTGAATTTCTAATTCTGTGAACTGTTGAGGAACTAAGAACCTTCTTCAGAAGGCTTCAACCCTTGGGTGTTTTGACATATGTCAATCTACATTCTACCGCAGTGTTGCCAACACTTGGTCACTGCACAATACCATCTATTATATATATATATATACCTCTGTCCACAGATTAATTATTAGTTACTACGTAACCTCTGTCTCATTTTAGACGTATAATCGGCGCGGCGAACCTTGATCCCTATGACACTGACAGCTAATGTCACCATATAGTATTGTAGTGGCGTCACCGTTAAATTGGGATCATATTGGGGGCGTCTAATAATGTCATTTATAAATTTTACGTAGCTTTATACCATTAGTAATGATATTCCGTTGATATTTTTAACAATTCTTAACATTTACAAGAAGTTATCTCAATCTGAATTTATGTTTACGTCCTGCAAAACTTACGTCGTGTGACGTTTATCGACTAAGGCGGCACGTATCGATAAAAAAATGTCGGTAATGGAAACGAATGCACATTTTTTTTCATACTCACTTTAGTTCATATATTATGGAATGGAACAGAATATTACGATCATACCATTCATACATACACACATGATTATATTATACCCAAGAAAATTAAAAAATAACAGCTATAGGACAAAATGAAATGAAACAAAATCTGTTTAACAATTATTTATTTACACTAAACTGGCTGATTTCAGCGACGTCAATAACATTTTACAAGTCGGCAGTTCACCTCGGAAGTAGTAGACGTAAATATGGTTACGTATCGCAGCCATGTCGAAGTCATCTGGACTGGTGACGGGATGTACCCTATTACATTTTTTCTTCTTTGGAGTTGAGAGTTTGTTCTCCTCCATCGATGATTCGCCGAACTTTTCCTTTGTGATTCGGGAAACGGTAGCCTTGCCAATCCCTAGAGCATCAGCAACACGGTCGCGTACGTTGTCAAGTGGCAACAAAGGGCCGCCATTTTGTTGTTCACGAGCAAAGTAATCCCGCAAACGCACAACAAACTCCCGCGTTTCACTGTTGAGTACAGTTTTTCGTAGTCTTTTCGGCATTTTTCAATACAACAATAACAAAATAGCAACAAAAACAAAAAACAGTAATAACAAGAAAACAGTAATAACAAGTAACACTCCGATAACAAAAAACACGTGGCGCATACAAGGCGTTAGCACTCGTACTGAAGAAGCGAGCGCCGGGCCCCGGCCGCCGAGCGATTACATTGGATTGTATATACCAAAAAAAATATACCAGGTCTAATACATTGCAAAAAAAAACTCCCCGGCGCTTGGGCTAATACAACAACAACATAATGGACATTAATAATGCACATTATAATATTTTTTAAAACATGTTTACAAACGTGGCTGAATGCAAGCCACGCCTTTGTCTAAAAAAAAAAATTATCGATACGACCAAAGACACGACCCATCACTAACACGAACTGTCATAGGGATCAAGGTTCGCCGCGCCGAGTATAAACGATACCTCGGCACAAATAACAATTAGTGATGGGCCGAATGTGGTTTGAACCGAATACGAACTTCGGCCGAACATTCAGTGAGATTAAAAAATTCGGCTAGGTATATATATATATATATATATATATATATATATATATATATAGTATTTAAAAGTCTTTTAAATAAGCTTTATTATCGATAATTTTAGATCATAAAACAGCATTCACTTTTATTGCTTGCTGTTTGTCTGTATGTCAAATTCTTCGCGTATCACTCCAATACTAAACCAAGATTGAATTTTTGTATACATCCATCTACATTCTACTCTGAGCCAACATACAGGGCACATTTTATATTACTACGTACACAAACTACGAAAATACTTTCCCCCGGAAAAGAAGAAAATAGTTGTATGAACAAACTTCAATTTTGCAATAAAATATAAAATGGCCCTCGGGAAATGGGAATATAGTTTTATGAAAATTCTTTTCTTAAGCGGAAAGTACATACTAAATTGTACGAAAAGGCAAAATAATATTTATAATATGTATATATTTAAAATTATATATGTATAGTGTATCAACTATCTAGTACACATAACACAAGCCTCGTAGCTTACAATGGAACTAGATGGTGCTGTGTGTTAATGTAAAAAAACAAAAAAAAATGAGTCTTTCACCATGTAAAAGCTGTTGCATTGGTTTAAATATAAAATATAGAGTTGTGTAGTTTCTGAGTGAGTGATATAAAAGAACTACATAGTAATACTGAACTGATCACTGATGTAATGTATCACTCACTCATACTAGTACCGAATATATCACTAGGTCGGTGGTGTAGTGGCTAGCATGTACGGCTACACACTCGGAGATCCTGGGTTCGAGTCCCGGGTCGGGCCAAGTTCAGTTATTGAGTCTTTCTGTATAGTAGGTCTCAGTAACAGCCCGGATTTGGGAAGTTGGCGGTGTTTCACCCCTGTGCCTCGGAGAGCACGTAAATCCGTCGGTCCGGCGCCTTAACTCTCACTGGTCGTGTCGAACAGTCGTTCCACCGGAGTATGAGAGTGACAGGAATAGAGAGTGCACTTGTGTCTACGCGTACACTTGTGCACTATAATATCTCCTGCGCATTTGGCTAGTCTCAATGATATTGGCCGCCATGGCCGGAATTAGCTAGGAGAACATCATCATCATCATCACTAGCTCATTTAGCTCAGTCTAACTTAGTAGCTCACCAAAGAGTATTATAATCTTTAGCTCACTGCGTCACTGCGATGTTCGTTTGTGCGGCTCTCTTTGTATTTATTATAGAATATAGATAGAATAACATTGACATAAGACACGTTGAGATTTGAATGTTTCAATAAATTTCATAAAACAATTATTTTTGTAAAAATAATAAATTATAAAACGATAATTGTAAAAAATTTGACTTTTTAATACGCCAACCTAGTGTTTTATTTTATTATATTATGAAAATAATCCATCGAGGTTGATAGTCCTAAGCCTGTCAACTACTAAAGGAAATTAAATTTACTATACATAATAATTTCAAACTCAAACCTTGTTATAAATGTACTAATTATTGAAGTAATGAAAAAAAATAATGAGAGCTTAATGTGAGCGATAGTTTTCAATTGAGCGATCTTTGTTTCTGAGCTGACCGAGATAAATGAGCTAAAAGAGTGATATATTATAATAACTTTGTATCCAAAAGATAATATGTATCTGTCTTTTCAGCTCAGTGAGCTATTTTGCGGCTTGCGCATCACTAATAAGATATCAAGATGGCTACTTAGTGGCAAGTCGTTATTTGATGTTCTTGACAATCTATTTATATAATCGATAGCTGCTAATTAGCTATTTATTTATATTTATAAAGGAGGAATCAATATAGTATTTTTTTTAATAAACGGATATTTTGGTGCCTTTATTCACTTACATACTTATACAATTTGTGATAAGAATTTATTTGTTTATTCTATCATTCTATGAGTATAATATGACGGTATGATCTGATTTCTACGTAGTCTGTAGATATGTCATTATAAAAACAAAGAGGTTAGGTTATTATTTATATTTTGTTAGAAAACATGTTTACATCCAAACGAATATAAATGCATATAATTTAATATGGATTCTAAGTATGCTTCAGTTGGTAGAGAAAGGGACACGAAAAATTCCTATGATATAAAGGTTAAGAGAATTAAATTAAATATTGATAATAGTAATTTAGTAACCAAGGATAATGAAAAGGTTAATGGTAAAATAAGTAATGGTGTCGATCAAATTAATAAAGCTAGTAATTTTACATCTCAAGAGAACAATGACGTTGTGGAAGAAGAACGAAAGGCTTTGCCTGTTTATATGGTACGAGGAAGGTAAAGTTATCTTTCTAAATTTCTTTTAGGTTTATTGAGAAATATGCTTAGATTCGTTTAATGCTTACTCAAATATATATATCACTGCAGGCTTATAGAAGAAATTAAGAAACATAGTACAATGATATTGATTGGTGAAACTGGAAGTGGCAAAACTACACAAGTTCCTCAACTGATTCATGAATATCTCTTAGGAAATAAATACTGCATAGCTATAACGCAACCTCGCAGAGTAGCTGCGATTACCTTAGCTTTGCGAGTAGCAGATGAAATGAAAACTGAAATTGGACTAACTGTGGGGTAAATTTTATAAATGTTTAATTAATATGGTTTATTACAAACTTATTTAACGAAACTAAACCACCTTGCATTATTCTATGTCTAATTTAGTAGTGCAAAGAATTAAAGATTGCCAAAGTACACTCATTACTGTATATAAATCTAAAAAGGTAAATGTCTTTTAGATTGGCCGTCCTTCTGGCGATTAATTGTGTATAAAGAACTTTTATTTATAAAAGTGAAGAACCTGTATATAATTTGACTGTGGTGACACTGATATCTTTCCAAAAAATATTTGGAACAAATATATGTATATGAACACATAGAACTTTTTCATTTATAATAATAGTCCAATTTAAAAGATACCCTAGATAGATAAATATTAAATACATAATTTTTTTCATAAATTAACATAAATATTATAGATGATTTCACAATATTTAAATTTGATTAGTGCAAGAAAGGGTTGTAGAAAATAAGTTAAGCACTGGTGAGAGGAGTGAGTCTTGTGGATCTCTCACTCTCTAATAATCTTTGTAAAATGATTTTTATAATAAAATTACTACACAACACTATTTAATTAAAGATGCTTCGATATAATTCCTTTATTTTCTTCCTTCTGAGGTTTTCCCTGAGCACTATAACACAGAGCTCTTCAAGAGTTGTGCCTCCAGGTCCCTAAAAAACTGGCAGCACATTCGCAACTCCTCTATGTTACAGATGTTAATGATCATTTGCTTGTTTTCCCCTTTTACTATAATAAAAAAATTACATTGAAAAAAATCTTTTCTTTTTTAGATACTCTGTCAGGTTTGAAGATGTTACAAGTCCCAGGACTAAAGTAAAATATTTAACTGATGGTATGCTACTTAGAGAGGCAGTGAATGATCCTCTTCTAAAGAAATATTCTGTTATAATACTGGATGAAGCCCATGAACGCACTGTTAATACTGATATTCTTTTTGGTATTGTAAAGCTAGCACAAAAGGAAAGAAATGAACAAAAATTAAATTCTTTAAAGGTAACCTGCTTATATTTTTCAAATTCGAATAAATTTAATTATAATAATATTGAAAATAATGAAAAAATATAATAAAATTTATTATTGTATATAAAATATAGTTATTTTTGAAGTACACTAAATATGTTTTCCTGAAAAGACAAATTAATTATTTAGGGAAACATTCTCAAAATAAGGAAAATTTTGATGATTAAAGTAAAAAATATTGATTATTGTTGTGTGTTTATATCACACTTTATTGGAAATACAATATATCACAGAAATATTTCAAAATCAAAGTTCATGCTGGAATGGCCAACATCTTATATTTTATTGTTCACTAAAATGTTACAGGTCATTATAATGTCGGCAACAATGGATGTAGATTCATTTAGAAAATTTTATAATAACTGTCCTGTGATATATTTAGAAGGAAGGACTTATCCAGTAACAATTTACCATTCAAAGATGAAACACGAAGATTATCAATATGCAGCAGTCTGTACTATCTTCCAGTTGCATGCAACGGCACCAGCCAAGTATGTGATTGACACCAATTTTTCCACTTAGATAATGTACATCATGACTATCTGGAAGTGAAACTTATAAATAAATATTTTTCTTGTAAGAAAATTCTATATTCATCTTGTTGAAGGCAATTTTTTTTTTATAAATAGAAGTAACATGGACTTTTGTCCAAAGCCCTTTGGCACACGGCTTATATGTATATATAAAAACATAAAATTAGAGCTTTTTGTAGATAGATTATTATTTTAAAATCACTCAATATTGAAATTTATTTCAGTCATGACTTCTTAGTATTTCTAACTGGTCAAGAGGAAATAGAAACTGTAATGAGTAACATAAAGCAGATAGCAAAGGTAAGTTTTAAAAGAAATATTTTATTATTATAATCAGTTATAATCGTGTCTTTACACTGTATAATATATTATAGTTTAATCATTTCAGGAGTCGACAGGACCCCCAATAAAAGTTTGTCCGTTATATGCGGGACTGCCGGCCGCAAAGCAATTACAAGTCTGGAAAAAATTGCCGCCAGGCGTGAGGAAGATTGTTCTAGCAACTAACATAGCTGAAGCCTCCGTTACAATACCACAGATAAAATACGTAATCGATACTGGTGTTGTAAAGGAAAGGTGAGGTCTTTTTAAAATGTATTAATAAAGGCAAGTGGCTAGTGGTTATCGCGATGAAAATAAATAGTATGTGAAAGTATCAGTGGTGTGAGACCCGAGAACTGACATCGCTTCATTTGGTTTTCCCATCGAACGCGTTACCACTACCTTTACTGTCATAGCCGTATAAAAAAAAACATGTGCATTATGTTGTCAGAAAACCCAACATTAATACATAATCCGAAGGAGGAATTGAATCAAGGCTATGAAATGTGTGACTCATTTGCGTTAAGTTTCTTAAGTCTTCATAAATTTAACTCACTGTCACGGGTCTGATGAATGATGATGGTACCTCGACAATGTCTCAATAACATACAATCATTGGAAGAAGCACACCGAGTACTTCTGCAGACGCACTTCCCCGACTGCTCAATGATTAACGAAACCAAATGGTTAGATGTCAACCACAACATAACAGACACATCCATGCAACTTGCAACGGAGGTCATAAGTCCAAAGAAAATAGCATGGGCCATTAAAAGCTTTCAGCCCTTCAAGGCACCAGGCCTAGACGGCATTTACCCCGCTTTTATACAATGGGGAGGCCCAAAACTGTTCCATATACTCAATAGAGTATATCAGGCCTGCCTGGCTCTTGGTTACGTACCCAAGACCTGGAGAGAGGTCAAGGTAATCTTCATACCAAAAACCGGCAGGTCTGACTACACGGATGCTAAATCCTACAGACCAATAAGCCTCACATCATTCCTACTTAAAACTATGGAAAGACTATGTGATAGATACCTAAGAGACAATGCATTAGTAAAAACACCTCTACATAGGAACCAACATGCCTATTAGTTCAGGCAAATCAACGGAATCAGCCCTCCACGCTGTAGTATGCAAGATCGAGGAGGCGTTAGATACCAAAGACATATGCCTAGGCACCTTTATCGACATTGAAGGAGCCTTCGATAAAACTAACTTCACCAGCATCAGAGCAGCACTCGACAGACATGATGTGAACCAGTAATATCAAAACTGGATTCAACACATGCTCGCAAATAGAGTAGTCCGGCTGGGAAATAGCAACAAACAGGGAGCCATCGTTGCTAAAGGCTGTCCACAAGGAGGTGTACTGTCGCCTCTTTTGTGGAAACCTCGTAGTTAACGACCTCATATCCCTGCTCAACGACAACATATTTTATACAATCGGTTATGCAGATGACCTAGCCATCTTAGTAACGGGTAAATTCACAAGCACGGTCTGCGAATTAACACAATCGGCCCTATTAATAGTTGAAAAGTGGTGCGAAAAGTTTCATCTGACCGTCAATCCGCGCAAAACTGAACTAATAATGTTCACAAACAAAAGAGCGCTAGGGAACTACTCCCTTCCAAAACTCTTTAATTCGACACTGTCAACTAACTACAGAAGTAAAATACCTAGGTATTATTCTAGACAGCCAAATTAAATTGGTCCAAAACACCTAGAAACCAAACTAAACAAGGCCAGCATTACCTTCTGGCAATGCCGAAGAATGTTAGGTAAGAAGTGGGGCCTTAAACCAAAACTAACTCTATGGCTTTACACAGCAGTTATACGACCTATGATTAGCTACGGTGCCCTAGTGTGGTGGCGTAGAACTCTTCTAACCACAGCACAATGCAAGTTACAAAGCTGGCAGAGACTGGTGTGCATGGCAGTAACGGCTGCATGAGGACAACACCCACTGCAGCCCTGGAAGCCATACTAAGCCTTCTGCCGCTGCACTTGTTTATCCAACAGAGGGCTGCGACTACCCGCAACAAGATTAGATAACCAGAAGTTGCTACGAAAAACAGGCACGCCACATACAAAAATTTTGATAGACGTAGCCAAAGACATCCCGCTCATGGGAGCACCGAATGACGGGATCCAAATCAAATACATTTTTGACAAAAAATACAAAATAGAGCTAGAGGTAGACAAAAACGAAGGTCGCGACAGCAAGGACCTTAGAATATACACTGATGGCTCAAAAACCAAATCAGGGACAGGTTTGCGGGATCTTCTCTGATGATCTAAACATTCAAACTTCCAATACCCCTAGGTACCTATAACACCGTGTTCCAAGCCCGAATGTTTAGGTATCCTTGAGGCAGCTAGAACAATTGCGAATAAAGACGTCAAAAACTTCTCTATCCGCATACTATCAGACAGCATGTCAGTACTACAGGCATTAAATAGTAATTCTACCACTTCAGGTATAATCTATGAATGTCATAACGCTTTGGACACAGGTAAGTGACCAAAAAAGGTCTCAGTACAATGGCCAAAGGCCACAGCAACTCGTGGGGTAACGATAGGGCCGACGAGCTAGCAAGAAGAGGATCGGACCTGAATGCAATAGGTCCTGAGCCCATCGTGGCGCTACCTTCTTGCTGGCTCAAAGGTCAAATACGACAACGCACAAGACGACTACACGAAAATATATGGCGTGAAGTCGCAGACTGCAGGCAAGCAAAGGAATCGCTTCCTTTCATTAACACTAAAACGACTAACCGTCTGATTAATCTCAACAGATCTCAACTCAGACAGATAACCGCGGCTCTAACAGGCCACGGACCCTATAACAAACACCTATTTAATTTAGGTATAACTGACAGCCCACTCTGCAGAGCCTGCATGAGGGCAGATGAAACGGCTGCACATGTGATTTTACATTGTCCAGGTGTAGCGGCGTACCGGGCTCAACATCTTGGCACCCCTAGTACACTCCCGGAGGTCTTCGGTAGGACGAAGAGACTACTGAAGTTCCTGGAGGAACTGGGCTGGCAAGAATAAACATTTGGAAAATTTCCCACACACGCAAAATAGGCGCGCAGACGTCGAGTTGCGGAAACTGGCCCGTCTTATACCATACCATACCATACAATCATTTACAAGACATTGAAGCACATGAATCCATATGAAGGTGCAGGATGGGATGGCATTTTACCCGTTTTCTTCATTCAATGTGCAGAACCTTTATCTTCACCATTAGAAATCACTTTAAAAAATCCCTTATCTTTTGAAAGTTTCCAGAAAAGTGCGAAACAACGGAAATAGTACCTATTTTTTAATACAATTTATTAACTTCACTTGTAACTAACAATATAATCAAATCTTAGAAGATAATTTTAACCTGTAATATTAACATTAATATTAACTGTCGTATTTAAATGAAATTGTGAATTTATATTTATTTCGGATGACAATAATATAATTTGGTGTCTTGGAGCTGATCTGATGATGGAGCCAGGTGGTTAGTGGAATTTTTCAATGGCTTCCAGTAAACCCCTTGGCCCTCAAGATTAGGCTCACATCATAATTTTATAATATAATTCGTCCAAAGCATGTTTTTCAAGACTAAAATTATTACGTCCTGGGACAGATCTATATATTATATAGGCTTTATGGGTTGCAGCCCAGGGCCCCTAACGTATAAGGGGCCCTCTGCTGTAAACTACGGATAATATAGTGAATTTATAAAATAAAAAAATATCTAAAATATAACAATTATGGCCATAAACGGCTGGTCTAATAACGCTGAGAGAGAGTAGTATTAAGTACCAAACAATAGCGTTATCCTAATTTCGCGTAGTACTATCTATCAATAAAGATTTTATAAGACAAAATGACAATTAATTTAGGGTCCCCTCAAAGCGTTAGCCCAGGTCCCCCAAATTCACAATCCAACCCTGATTAAGTCTGGTGAGTGAAAAAGAGGCGTAGGTAACGAGTATTGCGTGCGCAGGACGTGGTGCACCAGGACGGGCGCGGAGCGGCTGGCGGTGCGCGCGTGCTCGCAGGCGGCGGGCTGGCAGCGCGCCGGCCGCGCGGGCCGCACCGCCGCCGGCGCCGCCTACCGCCTCTACACCGCCGACGACTTCCGCGCGCGCGCCCACCACAACGACCCCGAGATTGTCAGGTATGCGCCACGTGTCTAGGGCGGTGGCTGTCAAAGTTTGGATCGGGATCCCCTGGGGGCTATTGCCGACGCGCGCGCGTCAAGCGTGTGCTCTGTGTCTAGAAGAGAGATTGTCAACATGTGGTTTGTGACACTCTTTTTAGTTAATTTAAGAACATTTTCCATTTCGAAATGTTGTAAGTACTTCGTCGATACGTCCTTAATTATGAATATAAGAAGAAATAATGTATGAATGGATTTATAATAAAAAAAAACCTTAAAACAACGAAGGATAGTGGGTGGCAATATGTTTTTTCTCGTTATGAAACGATCCTCATCGATATTGTAAATAAGTAGTAAATTTATAGAACATAAATAATAATTAATACACTAGATATGAACACTCAAAATTACCTATAATTAGTAATGTAAATTTTAAAAAATTTTGTACTGTAGATGATTTATTTTTATCCTTATTTAGATGCCCCTTATCTTCAACGATGTTGATGTTGATCGCTACCGGAATGGATCCCAGTACGTTTCCTTTGATAGACGCACCGCCAAGAGACTCCATACAGGCTGCACTGCTTTTATTAAAGGAATTAGGTATGTACTAAAGAGTTACATATGTAGATATGACTAAGTGTCTTCATCTTCTCCCTGCCTATTTCCCAATCACTTGGGGTCGGCGCAGTATATCTTCTGTACTGCTGATAGGATTTGGCAAAAGTTCTACGACCGGCTGCCCGCCTGACGTCAACCCTCCTTGGGAATAATAATAAATATGACTAAGTGTACCATACATTTAATTATGGTACTTTATTTTTATTTTTTTTTATTTATTTGGATAAGCACACTTACAACATACATACACAGCATTTGTATATTAATTAACAGCAATAATAATATAACTTATATGTATGTCAATTAATAGTGTACATAGCATTTCCACATTCAATGATTAAAAGCACAAAAAAAATCATAACTGTAATATTAAAAACAGAGCCAAAAAATAAATAAATCTAAATAATATCATTTTACAAAGGAAATAGATAATAATAAAAGAAATTGCAATAATAATCATTTACAACAAAAAAATTAAATTAAGATTAATAATGATCATGCATATTATAATAATTTAGTATTTTATTTCTAAAAATTGGATGAGAGTCATAAAAAATGTCAATGCCACGTATTGATCTGAGTATATCATTGTATTTATTACACAACCAATTTAATTAAAGTTGGCGGATTTCAAGTGTCTTTCTAAAACTTCTAGTGAAAGTCCCGTGAAAATCAGTCTAGCCGTTTCGGAGATTAGCCGGAACAAACAGATGACACACAGTCAAACAAATTGACAAAAATTGAGTTTTTTTCTAAGTACCGTATATAATTCCATATGAATTTAGCAAAAAGCTGTTATTTTGATATTACAAACATACAATTCAATTTTATTTACCTGTATAGATATGCCATATTGTTTGTTGCAGGTGCCATAGACAATGAGAACAATCCTAAATTAAGTATTTTAGGGAAAAAAATGACGGCCTTTCCAATTGATCCGAAATATTCCAAAATACTTTTGTGTGCTCCAGAATACAACTGCCTTGAAGAGGTGATACAGAAAATAAGTGTTATGTTAAATTATTATAATGCTCGTAACTCGGCTTGCAGAGTTCAACTTTTTGAACATTTTTCCTTGTGTCTACATAATAATATTTATTTTATACTGTCTTGATTTAAACTTGTTTTAGGAAACGTTTTACATGTATTGTAATATAATATGTATGTATTTAAGTTATTTAAATTTATGTATTTAAAGTTTATACATGTGTAGTGTATCATCAACTATCTGGTATCCATAACACAAGCCTCGTAGCTTACCAGACGGTGCTGTGTGTTAACGTCCCAAAAAATAATGTCCTAAATTTTGTTATAATATAACTATTACATGTATTTAAATAAGTACGGGTCTTTTACGCTGAGATTAGAAGTTTCAAAGTAATTAGCGTTTCTATATCTATACTAATATTATAAAGAGGTAAAGTTTGTGAGTTTCTGACGTTGTATGGGGTAATCTATGGATCTACTGAACCCATTTAGATTAAATTTGGTAAGAAGATAGTTTGAGACCCTGGAAAGGACATAGAATACTATTTATCCCGGAAATCATCCCTTAAGGGGGTGAAAATGGGGATGAAAGTTTTTATTGGGAAGCAAAAATAAAATCTTATATATATAATTCTTCTGTACGTGTGTTTGTTAACCTACTCCTAAAGGACTGGACCGATTTGGATGAAATTTTGTGTGTATATTTCAATGGGTTCCTGGATGGTTTGAAAATACAAATGGACCCAGTTGGTGTGCCACTGATCATCTCCTAAATGGCAGAGACGATTTCAATGATATTTTTTGTGTATATTTGAGTGAATCCGTGCAAGCTCTGAAAATACAAATAGACCCGGTAGATGGCGCTGCAGTCGGTATGCCACTGATCATCTCTTAAACGGCAGGGACGATTTTAATGATATGTTTATAAAGCTTTGTGAAACGAAGGAATGATTTTCGTTTAACAAAAGAATATTGTATCCGCACTAATTCATTCAATTAAACTCAGTATGTCTAACTTATTAATTTACAATTCCCAACTTATCACAAAATAATTACATTGTGTTCTCTAAAATATTTGTACATAACAAACATTATGTATATAATATACATTATGTATATAAATTCTAATCGTACATATTTTCCAGGCCCTTAGTTTAGTGGCAGTAATGTCCAGCGAAAATGTGTTTCACACACCATTACACAAAAGGGAAGAAGCATTTAAAGTGAAACAAAAATTTATATCGCCCCTCGGAGATCATATCACACTTTTAAATGTTTATAAAGCGTTTTGCAAAGCTCCCCTGAAAAAGGTATAATTTTTATTTATTATTATATTTACTCGCTCGGGTGCGTCCCTGAGCTTGAATGGTTTAGGAATGCATAAAAGAAAAACGTCCAAAGAAAAATTCTTTTTTTATTGCGCCAGGAACCTTCGCAGGCGTATACAGAATATCCCACCAGAGTTTCATCACAATCTGATCAATGGTTTAGAAATGGAGAGATCAAACATTCGAATATTCATTTTTCATCATAAATAGCCCATGATATAAATAGTTCATATAAGACAGTGGTAGCTCAGTGGTAACGCGCTCAGCTGAAGCGGGTTCAAACCCCAGGTCTCGCACCTCTGATATTTTCATGTGCGAATCATTTCTATCATGATTACCAATTGTCTTACGGAGAAGGAAAACATCGTGAGGAAACGTGCGCGTCTGAGAAAACCTAGCAAGTTTTCGAAAGACATGTGAAGTCCGCCAACCCGCACTTGGCCAGCGTGGTGGACTATGGCCTGATCCCCCTTGTATTGAAAGACGGCCCGAGCCCAGCAGTGGAACGCTAAAAAAGGGCTGAATACAATAGTGCATAGCTTACTTTTTATCCCGGAAAAATGTACGGTTGCAGTGGGATTTCAGTGGGACGAACCCGAGCGAAACGAGGCTTAGTCGCTAGTAACTAATTATGCAGTGACCTTATCGCTTGTTAGTCTTGCGACTTGCCGGTAGAAAATCTGTTTACCGACTGTTAATGATATTCTATATTACAGCAATGGTGCAAAGAGAATTATATAAACCATAAGAATTTGTCATACGCATATGAAGTGAGACAACAACTGCTGTCCGTGTGCCAACGGTTGAACTTAGCCGTCACTAGTTGCGGGACAGTGTTGGATCAGGTATTATATATTAGATTTTTTTCTTATTTTGTTTTAGGGAATTAATTTTTTATCTATGTGTGGTTGGAAGATGACATCGATTATATATGCACATGTAAAACAATGTCTAAATAATAAAGACTAATACTTAATGTTATGGATTATATTTATCTCATGGCTGTTTTATTAGTCTTCCGTGCAGAAGGCTAGTTTCATTCAAACAGGTCGCCGTGAACGAATCGGTCAGGAGAATTTTGTTTCTTCCGACTTTATTTCATTATATATGATTACTCTTTTATTAAGTATAGAATTCCCATTTGTATAGTTGCTGAAATGTCTGCTAAGCGGTCTATTCACTAACTGCGCATGGGCCCGCTCGGGCGCGGGCGCCGGCGGCCGCTACGTGACGAGCGCGGGCGCGGCGGCCGCGCTGCACCCCGCCGGCGCGCTGCACGCCGCAAGGCCGCCGCCGCCCGCGGTCCTGTACACGGAGCTGCTACACACGAAACGGTCCTACCTCGTTACTGTATCTGCTATACAACCGCAGTGGCTTCACCAGGTCGCACCAGAATATGCCCGACGATGTCGCGCCAATCGGTGACATATGTATTCAAGATGGCGGAGATTAGGCGGGAAATTACTCAGAGATGTTATGTTGCCGTCTTTGTCTCGAAACATAATTATTACAAAATAACGTGACAAATGTTCATAGATGTTGTATTTTAAAATATAGAATTGTGTTTTGAAATGTATGTAGACGATGAGAGGCGGGTAATGAGAGCGACATAAATGTATACTTAAGAAAAAATGTTTTTTTTATCGATTAAATTTAGTATTGCTTGTAATCGTTATTAATTTTTATGTATAATGTGTAATATGTACATACATATTGAGTCTTTTTACTTTATTGTGTAATACTTTACTAGATACTCTAGAACATTGCTACAATGAAAGAAAGGCGAAAACTTTTTCGATGAAATACGTTTCAAACTATTTTCTTATTTTTTTTAAAATGTAACTTCCATGAAAATGCTGGAACTTACTGCATTAAAAATAATAATTAAGTCAAATTTAAGAAATAACTATACTTAGTTTGTGAATATGTTATATATTGACGCCATTTGATTGTTATTACAAATAAAAAAGTTATTTAGAACGCTTTGTATTTTTTTTTTACCTCCCACCCACGAAATAAGTTATGACTATTTTATTATTATTAACAATAGTAATTCTTCTTTATCTCTTCTCAATTCTTTCCTAGAAAATACATTACAAAAACTAAAAACTTCACTGAGTCAAAAGCGAAATGAAATTTCTGTTGGAAAAATTCGCGTTATATTCTCGCGCTACATGTACCTATGTCTTCGACTGCAAAATATTCTGTTCTTTTGTCCTTCGAATTCTATACAAATAAATATAAAAATTTAAAACAATAAATTAAAACCGACCACCAGGCACTAAAATGTAAAAAATAAGTAAACGGGGGTTTTCATTTAGAATTATTTATATATAAAATTATTTATAATTATAACGTATCAGATATTTTCGAAGTGGGTGCCAGCCGATGCAAAGCAAATCTAAAATATTTCGATACGTAAAATACATATTTACCTTTAAGATATTCATATCTTAAAATGTTGTCAGCTGGCACCGACTTCGAAAATATCTGATTAGGTATCTATTCCAAATGAAAACCCCCGTTTAGTTATTTTTTACATTTTACTGATTTTAGTGTCTGGACGTCGGTATTTTTTCAAGTTTTTATTTTTCCATTTTTAGTGAAGACGTAATAAGCAGGTAATTAGTAAGAAGAAAGTTTCTAATTAATATATTCGATTAAACAATTTATTTAAAAGAAATAATTTATTGTTGATTTTTATTAAACCGCTCGACCGAATTCGATAAAATTTATATGGGACCACCTGGGAAGTATAGTAGTAGTAAATATTTCTCGTATACCCTTTGAAACAAAAAAATATCCAAATCGGTTCAGGCGTCTTCGAGTAATCGGTGAACATACATAAAAAAAAGATTCCGACGAATTGAGAATCTCCTCCTTTTTTGGAAGTCGGTTAAAAATTGTCTGTAATGTCAAAATAACAGCTTTTTATTGCATACACATGAAAGTATGACTATACGGTATTTATACTCGTAAGAAAAAAAATCTATCTGTCTGTTTGTTCCGGTTAATCTCCGAAACGGCTGGACCGATTTTGACGGGACTTTCACTGGCAGATAGCTGACGTTATAGAGTAATTCACGCTATATTATTTTAGAAAAAGAATTAGGGTTTCGCGCAAAAAAATAAAAACCCATGAAATTGTGAAAAATATTCGCGTACCAAGGTACCTACCTGAGCAATTTAAAGGGTAAGTCACTATATTCCAGATAAGTATATCTAATGATTGAATGAGAAATTTCGGCGCGCGGGACGTAGCTATAATGGTTTGAGTAAAGTGAGGGCAAATAATATTAAATTACAAGTGCCTAAAAACTTTTAAAAACTGAATAATAATTTTATTAATAAATTATTATTTAACAACAAATTTTTGTTAGCATAATACGAGTATGTCTACATAATAGAATTAGTTGTCTGGTCAAAGTCGAATATTTATACTTATCGACCGATTAATTATTTATACTTATACTATACTAGACTCAAGGGCTATTCCCTAGTACTAGGTATATGATCTGTGCCTTAAGGTAATTTAAGTACCTACTTAAATATTTCTCTTACTCTAAAATTAACGTTCACTGAGTCGGTTTAGAAATCGAATGAAATCTACGCTAAAGCGATCATCACCCAATTTGTGATAATTAGTAAACATTTTTTTTATCTATTAACGACTTACGAAAGTTGTATAAAAACAGTACTTAATTATACTTCATAATATTTACTCAAAAAAGTAGGTCTAAAAACCAAATCTACTGTAGAAATATAACAGACTTTATCATAAAGAAGTACTTTAAAAAACGTTGGTTATGACGAGGGTCCAAATGCTGTGGTTAATGAGAGTTTAAAAATGGAAGGCGTCCTCGATAAATATTTATTTTTTCAGGTTTAATTTATATCACGGTATATTTTCGTTTAGTATGATTTTATGTAAAAATTGATTTTACAATTTCTTTGCTAGATAATATTTAAAGCTCGTAAGTGTTATGTCGTATAAATAATAAACTTATAAGTCGCCAATTAATTATTAATACAATCTTTACAAAGATGTTTATTTAAATGATATAAACATGCTACAAAGTTGAGAAAATATTCTTTTCCAATATACGCATTTTTCGAACCTTAATATTATGAGTTATGCCTCGCGACTAAACGTAGCTTCCCAGAATAGTCGGTATAGAAATTCGTTTACAAGCTAAAAGCTTTCCATTTGTAAAGTGAAATGGTATAGGTACAAACTTGGACGTGCCGCCCTAGTCATCATACATTTTCGACATGTTTTCATATAACTTACATGCGTTTTAGTTTGAGGGATTATTTATTTCAGTAACATAGGTAAATTGATAATTAATAATTGGTAAAGGAATTAATTTTTTACTAGTTTTATTTCGTCGTTTGGTAAAACATTTACAAATTAGTATTATGATTAATATTAGAGACCCGTCCTATAATTTTTAGTAAGAATTTTGTATTTATATCCTTTTTAATGTCCCACAGCTGGGTACGGACCTCTCTTCGAAATTAGTTAGTTCAGGCCACAACTCATCACGCTGGCCAAAAACGGGTTGCCGGATTTCACATATCATTCGAAAGTTGCCAGGTTTTTTCAGACATGCAACCTGCATGTTTTCCTGCCATGCAACGATGTTTTCTTTCACCCTAAGACAAGTGGTAATCATGTTGGAAATGAATCGCGCATGAAAATATGAGAGGTGCGAAACACGGGATTAAAACCCGCTTCACTCGATTTCCTAAACGAGCGCTTTACCACTGGGCTACCATTTTGCTTATTCAGTAAGAATCTTGAAATGTATATAGATAAATAAAATTGAAATATCTGTTTGTAATATCAAAATAACAACTTTTTACTAAATGCATATGTAAGTATATACGGTACTTATATGATAAAAACAATTTTTAAAATTTTTGTCTGTCTGTCTGTTTCGGCTAATCTTCGAAACGGCTGACCGATTTTGACGGGACTATTATTGACAGATGATGTTATAATAAGGAGTAACTTAGGCTACTTTGATTTTAGAAAAAGAATCAGGATTCCGCGCAAAAATATTAAAACCCATGAAATTGACAACAAAATCCCAGTACCCGAGACATACTTGAGCGAAGAGAGGGTAAGTCACTAGTATTATAATAAAAGCTTTTTTTTTCTTTTCCTCTACGGTCTACTTTTACTTTTTTTCTATGGTCTCATCATAGTTTAGTAGCTACCTAGTATAAGTAGATAGCGTGTACAAATTTGCATATTTCAATTCACAAAAAATATCTAATTATAGTTATTGTAAATCCAAGAATTTAATTTTATTAAGAAATTTCGTGTAGATTATCTTTTCTTCCTTCGAATAAAATGTATCTTATATGCTGCCTCGGTTGCGAACTATTTGATCAACATCCATCTTGTATTTTTTTGCGTGAAACGTGAACAAATTAACATACATATAGACAAATATCTAAAAATTTTCTTATGTCATTTTATTTCTTTCATCAGGTTGATGTTCTGTGGCCTATATTGATAAAGCTTATTTCAATAAGAATTTTCAAGAAAATATATATGAATTATAATTATATAGACTACGGACTCGATTTCTTTACGATGGTCGATGTTATTATAAGTTGGTAAACATAGCTAAGATATAGATTATTACTTATAATCAGAAATGTAATATTATTTCTGATCTTTATTTTCAAAGTACAAATTCATCCTTGCGGAATAATCAAATTCTTGATATTGGGATATTGGTCTGAAAGGGACACTCTAGATTGAGACTGAATGAATCTGATTCTTGTAATATTTTTGCAATTGTGAAAAACGATTCAATCACCAAAAATAATTCAATCGCCGTAAATCCATTTTCGACATAAACAATTTTGGAATCTATGTGTTACATACACGTAAGTACTTGTACCTTTATATATCAAAGTAGCTAGTCAATTTTTATAATTTAGAAACTTATTTTGGAAGTATTCCAGAATGGACACTTCGATTTATTATAAGTACAAGCGACTCACCCTCGCTTCGATCGGGTTCCTTTCTAGTTTCTATTTTCACCCCCTTAAAGAATGATTTCCGGTATAAAAAGTATCCTATGTCCTTCCCAGAGTCTCAAACTATCTTCTTACCAAATTTCATCTAAATCGGTTTAGTAGATCCATAGATTACCCTCTACAACGTCACAAACTTACAAACTTTACCTCTTTATAATATTAGATAAGCAGCTTTTACATACGTAGAGTTGAAATGAGATATTATTATGGTGGTAGGTGACATTAAAATTAATATTCGATCTAGCCACGTGTGTTCGTGTCGAAATCTTTAACATGTGGCATAAGGAGGGCCCTCAATTCAGAATATTTCTATCGAATAAACAGGCGGTATTTGTACACAAAAAGACGCGTAAAGTGAATAGCTA